AGGGGATCATGCTCTGATTCAGTAAGTCACTGTACATGTTGTCATTCATGGTTCCCTCAATGAACTGTAGCTCCCCAGTGCCGGCAGCACTCATGCAGCCCCAGACCATGACACTCCCACCACCATGCTTGACTGTAGGCAAGACACACTTGTCTTTGTACTCCTCACCTGGTTGCCGCCACACACGCTTGACACCATCTGAACCATGTAAGTTGATCTTGGTGTCAACAGACCACAGGACATGGTTTCAGTAATCCATGTCCTTAGTCTGCTTGTCTTCAGCAAACTGTTTGCAGCTTTCTTGTGCATCATCTTTAGAAGAGGCTTCCTTCTGGGACAACAGCCATGCAGACCCATTTGATGCAGTGTGCGGCATATGGTCTGAGCACTGACATGCTCACTGACCCCCCACCCCTTCAACCTCTGCAGCAATGCTGGCAGCACTCATACATTTATTTCCCAAAGACATCCTCTGGATATGACGCTGAGCACGTGCACTCAACTCCTTTGGTCGACCATGGCGAGGCCTGTTCTGAGTGGAACCTGTCCTGTTAAACCGCTGTATGGTCTTGGCCACCGTGCTGCAGCTCAGTTTCAGGGTCTTGGAAATCTTATTATAGCCTAGGCCATCTTTATGTAGAGCAACAATTCTTTTTTTCAGATCCTCAGAGTTCTTTGCCATGAGGTGCCATGTTGAACTTCCAGTGACCAGTATGAGATTGAGAGCGATAACACCACATTTAACACACCCGCTCCCCATTCACACCTGAGACCTTGTAACACTAAGGAGCCACATGACACCGGGGAGGGAAAATGGCTAATTGGGCTCAGTTTGGACATTGTCACTTAGGGGTTTTTTGTTGCCAGTGGTTTAGACATTAATGGTGTGTTGAGTTATTTTGAGGGGACAGCAAATTTACATGTTATACAAGCTGTACGTCACATTGTAGCAAAGTGTCATTTCTTCAGTGTTGTCACATGAAAAGATATAATAAAACATTTACAAAAATGTGAGGGGTGGATTCACTTCTGGGAGATTCTGTGACTGACCAAAATAGTAAATAAGCAAATAAAAGGAGTTAATTGTTAGAATACATATCCACTGTAACTGGCTGAGCGCATGACTTTCACACCAACCTCTTTCCCAGAACACGCTGCCAGACTTCGCCAGGTCCTATAGAGACTGTGCCCAGATATTGCAGCACACGTCATCCTTGCCTAGAAGGCGATAGTGGAAGCAAAAGAAAAAAAGTATTTATTATTAAAAAATGTTTTGTTCAAATTGCTTAAAGAGTAACTCCACTTTTGCTGAGAAAAAAAAACATTCCTCTCTGAGTGATCTACGTACATTACACAGTGGCTAAATGGTTAGCACTTCTGCCTGGCAGTTCTAGGATTGTTGGTTCGAATCCCAGCCACGGCACCACCTACCTGCCTGGAGTTTGCATGTTCTCCCTGTGCCTGTGTGGGTTTCCTCCGGTTTCCTCTCACACTCCAAAGACATGCTGGTAGGTGAATTGGCTCCTGTCTAAATTGGCCCTAGTATGTGTATGTATGAATGTGAGTTAGGGACCTTAGATTGTACACCCCTTGAGGGTTAGGGACTGATGTGAATGTACATTATATATATGTAAAGCGTTGCGTAAATTGATGGCGCTATATAAGTACCTGAAATAAATAAATAAACTTTGTTGCAGATTCCTACCTTTTTGTTTTCTTCTGAAGAAATAGCTATTTGTTTTTCCGTGTCCATGTGCAGAGTGAATCTGTATGGGAGTGACTTTATAAATATCAATCAGCAGCTGCACCTGCAGGGCTCTAATGAGGAAAGTGGCAGCGTCTGGATCCCTATAGACGTGTTTTCACTTTTATTATTATTATTATTATTATACAGGATTTATATAGTGACAACAGTTTGCTCAGCGCTTTACAATATAACGGGAGACAATACAGCAACAATACAGTTCAATACAAGAGGGATAGGAGGGCCTGATCCTGGGAGCTTACAATCTAAGAGGGAGGGGCTGGTTGTACAAAAGGTAGTAACTGTGGGGGATGGACTGGTACGAGGAGTAGAAGATTCCATTATTAGCTGCTAGAGAGTAGGAGGTTGTTGGAGGAGGAGCGGAGAGTACGGTTTGGGTGATATTTGGAGACAAGATTGGATATGTAATTTGGGGCAGTTATAAATGGCTTTATATGTTACTGTTAGTGCTTTGAATTTTATTCATTGGCCAATGGGAAGCCAGTCGATGGATTCGCAGAGAGGGATGGCAGATATGGAACGGTTAGTAAGGTGGATGAGTCTGGCACAGTGGCGGACTGACCATTTGGAAACTCGGGCACTGCCCGAAGGCCCGGGGTCAGTAGGGGAGATGCCCCTGGTACCTTTTCTATAGGCTTTTTTGAGTTTGGGCAAGGACACAGGGGCCCCATGATCCCCTATTGCCCGGGGGCCCCATGAGTTGTCAGTCCGCCCCCTCTGGCAGCAACATTCATGATTGACTGAAGAGGGGATAGCCTGCGATGAGGTCAGCCAATGAGGAGGGAGTTACAATAGTCAAGGCGTGATATAACAAGGGGGTGAATAAGTAGCTTAGTGGTTTCCGAGGTTAGGAACGGGCATATCTTGGAGATGTTGCGGAGGTGAAGTCTACAAGATTTGGACAGTGATTGGATTTGGGGGTGAAAGGACAGATGGAGTATCTCACCAAAAATGAGATTTTGTTGCAGGGGATGCCAGTAATTTGACTTGTACCTTAGTGCAGACTTCTCAGAAAATCGGTGAGCCAATCACACAAGCAGGAAATAACATTTCTGGGGGATGTTCTGTACACCATCTGTGTAGAGAACACCTCCAGCGCTGCAGTTCGAAAAGAAAAGGCCATTTTTAATAAAATTAAATTACAGTATAACTTGCGTAGTAATTGTATATGCTATATTATTTTTTTATTTGCCATTTTTCTCCCCTAACAAAAGGAGTTACCCTTTAAGAGGGGAGGGGAAGGATTAGGAGAAGAAGTGCTTTTCATGGGTGAAGGCCCTCTTTAATGGGAAAGGTTGAAGGAGAAATGCCAAACTTCTCCAATAACATCACTTTACAGCAGTGTTGAGCAAAAGGCCGTCTCTGAAGACCGAAGGGAAAGGGAGTCCTACTCGCTATCAGACATAACAGACAGAGGTGCCTAATAAAGTGTCCCCTCTGTAGATAGAAAATGATAAAACAAGGGCGCCCTCTGCCTGTGTTTAGAGGAACAGCATTGTTAGTGTGTAAAAGCGTTGGGAAAATCATATCGGCAACCAATCAGGAACATCATGCACTAGAATAGTGACCAATAAAAGTTTGAACTAGATCAGTTGGTAAGAGCAGGTACAATTTTATAAAAGAGTTCGGCAGCTCAACGTCTCAGATTGCTTTGTATAGCTTGCATATAGAGATATTTATAGATGACTGCATCATTACTACATTCCAATCAATCATGAAAAATGTTCCCAGCTTACGGTGTTATCACCAGGACCGGAAAAAGGGGGAAATCTTTCCGACAAAGTCTCAGAAAGCGGAAAAATAATATCACTAAGATTAGATCTAAAATTCATAACAGATGAAATTTTTCAACAAAACAATTATTGTAGAGGATTATCTAGGCCAGTGTTTCTTAACCAGGGTGCCACTGCACCACAAAGGTACCCAGATAGCACCTGGGCATGGGAGCCAGTTTGCACTGGATCGGCGTCATGAGTTGCCATGGTAAGGGCCAGCCAGCCACCACCATCACACTAACCAATGACACTCTAGGGCCGGGATTTATTTGGTGCGATGGCAACCAGCTTTCTTGCACCATGGCAATGTATAATGCAATGAGTCTGATCCAGGGCAGGGGGTATGCAGGGCTGTACCCAGCATTCTAGACAAGACAGAAGTCCGCTTCGTCCGGACATCCCACCACTTTTCACCCTCTGCTTCACAGCTGGAGCCAAAAGGTGGAACTTTCATGTGAAGAGGGGGCTTTGTGCTTGGGGGGGGGGGGGTTGGGGGGCTGTGTGACTGGGGAAACTCTGGCATAAAGGGGGGGCTTTTGACATAATGGTAGATGTTGGATACGTTGGAAGATCTCTGACATGATGTGGGTTCTCTTGACGTGAAAGGGGAGTCTAATGTTACAGGGGACTTCTGAAGTGATTGAAGACATCTCATTTGAAAAGGGGACTGTGTGCTTGGGGGTTATGTGATGGGGGTCCTATGTGACTGGGGGAACTCTGACATGAAAGGAGGACCTCTGATATGATGTGGGTTCTCTGACATGAAAGAGAGTCTGATGTGAAGTGGAGGGCTCTAATGTCATGGGGACCTCTGATGTGATGGAGAACATATGATGTGAAAGAGGCTTTGATGTGGTGGGGGACCTCTGATGTGATGGAGGGCATCTGATGTAAAGGGGGACTCTTATGTGATGCGAACCTCTGATGTGATAGAGGACATCTGATTTGATGGGGGACCTCAGATGTGATGGTGGAACCTTTGATGTTATGGGGGGCTTTGATGAGAAGAGAGGCTTTGATATGACAGGGGACCTCTGATGTGAAGGGGGGCTTTAATGTGACAAGGGACCTTTGATGCGAAGGATAACCTCTGACATGTGAAGGGTGCCATGACCGAAAAAAGGTTGAGAAATACTGGTCTGGGCTAGTGGTAGGCAGCCTCAGCACTCCATCTGTTGTGGAACTTAATTCTCCAGAAGCTATGTAAGACCCAGAGCCATAGGCATGACTCCCAAGAGAAGGGGGTGATGGGATTTGTAGTTTCAGCAAAGCTGGAGTGCCAAGGTTGCCTTCCCCTGGTCTAGGCTAATGTCAGAAAGTCCAGCTAGTACTATATAAATCACGGGAAGTCAACCTTATATCAATAATTTTATTGTTCTTAGAACCTTGAATGTAGGGCTCTATAGATTCCCTCAGAAAGAATTCCACCCGGGTCATATAACCTGTCTCTTATGTTTCAGAACACGCTTTCCTGAAAAAGTGGTTGTTACTGTCCGATCCAGAGGACTTCTCTGCTGGGGCAAAAGGTTATCTGAAGGTCAGCCTGTTTGTGCTGGGCCCTGGGGATGAATGTCCGGTGAGTAATGTATCATAGTCAACCTGACCAGTGAAGAGTAATCTATATGTATAGGGCTAGGTGTTGTGACAAGGCAACCTGGGAATCTCCCTCAGCCTTACTGCTAAGGGCTGGGGTCAACAATCTTTGACCACATGTGCATGAAATCAGCTGGAGACCTTTATGAGCAGAGCATCTATAATGTTCCCATTGTGTTCTATGTCTTCAAAAAAATTTGGACTATTTAAGATACTTGTGATGATCTGCTCAGAAGGAGTATTAGGATGGAGGGTTATTCTTTGTAGAGTAATGGGACTTCTTATACTTGCAGGTGGAGAAGAAGGAAACTGTAGAAGACAAGGAAGATATTGAAGGGAACTTGTTGAGGCCGGCTGGGGTGGCCCTTCGTGGAGCTCACCTGACTCTCCGGGTGTTTCGTGCAGAGGATCTGCCACAGAGTAAGTGATAGCAGGAACGTAGACATGGCAAGTGGTTCATACTCTACAGTCAATGGTAACCCATCTATCTCTGTCTCAGTGGATGATGCTGTCCTTGATAACGTCAAGCAGATCTTCGGCATGGACAGTAACAAGAAGAACCTGGTAGACCCGTTTGTAGAAGTGGGTTTTGCAGGAAAAACTGTAAGTGAAATTGAATTGGGTTTTCATTGTTGGGGCGGCTATTTCCTCACCATTTCCTTACTGTGATGTTATGTTAAAGAGGTTGAAGTGAGTGTTCTAGACAGACTTCATTTGCATGTAGACCACCCTAGGTAACGTCCACATGTGATGGTGAGCCTCCATTATTCAAACAGGCTTTGGGACTGGGACAGTCAGGCTTGGGAGGCAAGGACTAGTTGATGATGGGTGTCCTCCAGCCAGGAAATGAGCTGGGCTGTATCTGACTTTCTGCTTCTAAAGCACATTGTGAGAAGGTCACAGTGTACAGTGAAATCAGAGTAAGCCATTTCAGTCCAGGAGAGGAGCCAGTACAACTGTCCAAGATTGAAGGGAAGGAGAAAAGAAATCGGAAATAATATATTTAAGATGCATGTCAGCTTATATCATACTGGTCTCAAATACTGCAGAAATGTCAGAACTCCAACTTTGTAGCATGTACACTCAACGGTTACTTGAGCATTGGTTACATCTGCTCATTAATACAAATATCCCAGGAGCAAGTCAGTAGGTTACAAATCTCCACATCAAACACGTAGATATGATCAGACAATTCAGGGGACTTTCATCCGAGTATTAGAATGGGGAAAATCTGTCATCTTAGAATCTTTGACCATGGAACAATTGAATTGATCAGTACTCGTAGTCATGGCAGTGGACTTTTCCAGTAAACAGCAATTCTGTGGGTGAGTTGATGACAGAGGTCGGAGGAGTACAGCTGACAGACGTCAGAGGAGTATGACAGTACAGAACGTCCACAGCTGCCCAAATCATAAATCTCCTGTTCTGGATAACAGGGCTGAATAGTGGGATGTTTTATTATTATTATTATACAGGATTTATGGCGCCAACAGTTTGCTCAGCGCTTTACAATATAACAGGAGACAATACAGTAACAATACAGTTCAATACAAGAGGGGTAGGAGGGCCTGATCCTGGGAGCTTACAATCTAGGAGGGAGGGGCTAGTGGTACAAAAGGTAGTACTGTAACTGTGGGGGATGGGCTGATAGGAAGAGTAGAAGATTCCAGTATTAGCTGAGGGCAGGATAGGCTTCCCTGAAGAGATAGGTTTTCAGAGATCGCCTAAAAGTGAGCAGAGTAGGCGTTAGTCTGATAGATTGGGGTATAGAGTTGCAGAGGATGGGGGAAGCTCTGGAGAATTCCTGGAGATGAGCATGGGGGGAGGAGGAGACAAGGGAGCTAGAGAGTAGGAGGTCTTGAGAGGAGCGAAGAGTACAGTTTGGGTGATATTTAGAGACAAGATCGGTGATGTAATTTGGGGCAGAGTTATAAATGGCTTTATACAATATTGTTAGTGTTTTGAATTTTATCTGTTGGGCAATGGGAAGCCAGTGGAGGGATTGGCAGAGAGGGGTGGCTGATACAGAACGTTCAGTAAGGTGGATGAGTCTGGCAGCAGCATTCATGATAGACTGAAGAGGGGATAGCCTGCGATGAGGTCGGCCAATGAGGAGGGAGTTACAATAGTCAAGGCGAGAGATAACAAGGGAGTGAATAAGTTGCTTAGTGGTTTCCGAGGTTAGGAATGGCCGTATCTTGGAGATGTTGCGGAGGTGAAGTCTACATAATTTGGACAGTGATTGGATTTGGGACTGAAAGGACAGATGGGAGTCTAGGATTACACCTAGTACCCTGGCATGAGGGGAGGGACTGATGGTTGTATTATTGATCTTGATGGAGAAGTCAGGGGAGGGGGCACGGGCTGGGGGGAATAGTATGAGCTCAGTTTTGGAAAGATTGAGTTTGAGGAAGTGGAGTGACATCCATGCCGATATGTCAGTAGGTTAGTGATGCGAGTTATAATTTATATTGTTCCCATCAATAAACTACCCCTTCCATTGAGCACCCCCCTGCCCTGTTATAAAAATTGATTCAGCCTTTATTTCTTTTTATTGATAATACTTCTTATGTCCTCACTGTTATTAATACTAATTATTGGGCACTGTTGCCTTTCATGACATAAACTACAGTAACAATTCACACCATGAGATGGCGCTGATTCCAGTCTGTGTGCTGTTGCTTTTTATCTGTCACCAGTTAGCAGTACTGCAGTAGATCAGTGTGATCAGTAACTGACATTTTTTTTTCTTTCTGCTGCGAGTCCTCATACACACAGGACATTTAAAGTCATGTTAAAAACGTGAGTTTTTCAGCTCTTTTTAGCGTTTGTGCATTAGCGTTTAGCGGCATTTTCCTGCATTTGTGTTTCTCAGCGGGTTTTTTTTTTTTACCAAAAAAAATGCTTTTTTTTGGTCAAAAAAAGTCCAAAAACGCTGGTGTTTTACCACATTTTACTGCGTTTTTCAGCGTTAGAGCATTTTTACAGCTAAAAAAACTGCTCTAGAAACCCACTAGTCCTGGGGTTTTTTCCAGCCAAAAAAACATTGATTCCAGTCTGTGTGTGTATGGACACATAGGATAACATGCTGGGGGGTGTACTAGCTGTACAAAAAACATCAAAAGTCAAAAACAGCCGCTGTAAAAACGTCCCGTGTACATGAGGACTAAAAGTGGTTCTAATGGCTGAAGGTTTTTTTTCCCTAATTAATTCTCTGCATTACAGTAAAAAACCTTCAGGATGCAGCTCTCACTCCCCCCCCCCCCCCCCCCCCAGCTCCCCCCCTTATATGTACCTGAGCCGAATCTCGATCCAGCAATGTGCACAAGAGCAGTGACTCTCTTGGCTCTCTCTCTCCTCATTGGCTCAGAGACTATTGGCCTCCACTACTGTCAATCACAGCCAGTGAGGAGGGAGTGGGGCAGGACAGAGCTGCTCTCTGTGTGTCACTGGATCAGGAGTGAGGATGTAAGTGCCCCCATAGCATGCGGCTTGCTATGGTGGGCACATGGCGGGGTAGAGGACCCAGTAGCACCAGTGGGGAACCAGAGAAGAGGAGGATCTGGGTTTAGTCTAGATCAGTGGTTCTTAACCTGTGTTCGATCGAACCCCAGGGGTTCGGTGAGTCAGTCTCGCGGGTTCGGCGGAGGTGAAGACCCACACCCGACTCATATGATTCGTGCAGTAAATATTCATTATTATGTTTTTTGTTTTTGTGTGAAAATCATGTTTTAATGGTTTTGTTCTTTGTTCTTAACGGTTTTGTTCATTTTGTGCACCTATGTATAAATATATACCTATGCTTTGAATTTTAAAAATCATATTTTATTTTTCCAATTAAGAAGGGTTCGGTGAATGCGCATATGAAACTGGTGGGGTTCAGTACCTCCAACAAGGTTAAGAACCACTGGTCTAGATCATTCATAAGGGAAGTTATGGCTACTCAATTATTTGCCAATTTTATCACTTTTATCTAATTACACATCAGCTGGATAATAAAATCGAAGTGTGTATGGCCACCATTACAACTGATGGAGTGATCAGGAGTATTCCAGTTTGGTGTGTGAAATTTTAAGACATAAATATAATCCTTGGAGGCTTATGTGAAGGTCTGCAATGTGTGTGTGTATATGTATGTGTATATGTGTGTATATATATATATATATATATATATATATATATATATATACACATTCACACTATACTATATTGCTGAACGTATTGGGATGCCTACTTTTACACGCACATGAACTTTCATGGCATCCCAGTCTTAGTCCGTAGGGTTCAATATTGAGTTGGCCCCGCCCTTTGCAGCTATAACAGCTTCAACTCTTCTGGGAAGGCCGTCCACAAGGTTTAGGAGGGTGTCTATGGGAAGGTTGGACCATTCTTCCAGAAGCACATTTGTGAAGTCAGGCACTGATGTCGGGGGAGGAGGCCTGGCTCGCAGTCTCCGTTCTAATTCATCCCAAAGGTGTTCTATGGGGTTGAGGTCAGGACTCTGTGCAGGCCAGTCAAGTTCCTCCACCCCAAACTGGCTCCTCCATGTCTTTATGGACCTTGCTTTGTGCACTGGTGCGCAGTCATGTTGGAACAGGAAGGGGCCATCCCCAAACTCTTCCCACTAAGTTGGGGGCAGGAAATTGTCCAAAATGTCTTCGTATGCTGACACCTTAAGAGTTCCCTTCACTGGAACTAGGGGGCCAAGCCCAACCCCTGAAAATCAACCCCACACCGTAATCCCCCTCCGCCAAACTTTACACTTGGCACAATGCAGTCAGGCAAGTACTGTTCTCCTTGCAACTGCCAAACCCAGAAACATCCATCAGATTGCTGGAAAGAAAAGCGTGATTTATCACTCAAGAGAACATGTCTCCACTGCTCTAGAGTCCAGTGGCGGTGTGCTTTACAGCACTGAGCACTGGACGCTTTGCATTGCACTTGGTGATGTAAGGCTTGGATGCAGCTGCTCCACCATGGAAACCCATTCCATGAAGCTCTCTACACACTGTTGTTGTGCTAATCTGAAGGTCACACCAAGTTTGGAGGTCTTTAGCTATTGGCTCTGCAGACAGTTGGTGGCTTCTCTGTGCTTCAGCATGCGCTGACCCCGCTCTGTCTTTTTGGCCTACCACTTGGTGGCTGAGCTGCTGTTGTTCCCAGTTTCTTCCACTTTGTTATAATCCCACTAACAGTTGAGCGTGGAATATTTAGTAGCCAGGAAATGTCACAGATGGACTTATTGCACAGGTGACAACCTATCACGGGACCACGCTTGGAGTCACTGAGCTCCTGAGAGCGACCCATTCTTTCACCAATGTTTGTAGAAGCAGTCTGCATGCCTAGGGGCTTGATTTTATACACCTGTGGCCATGGAGGGGATTGGAACACCTGAATCCAATGATTTGGAGGGATGCCACAATACATTTGGCAATATAGTGTATATATATGTAAAAGCTCCTGAATGACTTAAAGTATATCATCTTTGTTGTGTGTAAAGTTTGTATGTAGATGGCAGACAACTTTTGGTCCCCTATTAATTTACTGCTGACTGAAAAATAAAGACTCTTTTCAGTCTCTATGATTGGTGATCAGAGATCATGTGATCTAGGCTGCCTAGGCTGGTGATCAGCAGCTTTCTTTTCTGACAAGAGGATCTCTCAAAATGACAATGTGATTTAGTATTTTTAACAGGTCCCTTACTGATGCAGATGTGAATTTTTGTGACAGGTCCACTTTAATAATTACTGTATCTTTTATTCCCAGTTATGCAGCAAGATTCTGGAAAAGAACGCCAACCCTCAATGGAGCCAGAGCATCACGTTACCCATACGGGTGAGGCCCCCTTCCTGTAATAGCAGTGTGATGACTGTCTTGGAGTACTGTCTATGGATTGTGATTGTATGTCTTTGCTATGTCTTTCCAGTTCCCGTCCATGTGTGAGAAGATGAGGATTCGTCTTCTTGACTGGTCAGTCACCCCAGGCTCAGTCGTATCTGAATAAGTGATCTGTCCTGTAATGTAACAAAGTAACTCTTGGTGTGGATTATGCTTCAGCACAGGACTGTAATGGGTCCCATACATGGTTCATGAGTGGCCCCGCAAGTCACCTGACTTGATAAATTTCAAATAAAAAATCCACTGAGCTGAGTGGAAAATGATGGGCTGAACAGTGACTGCGTTCCAGCAGTTGCAGTCACTTTTGGGGTATTCAGACAGCTACGGGTACTGGGGCTGTCTGAATACAATACAATAGCTGGACATTCCCCCATTCAGTCATTAGCATGGATAAGGGAATCAGTTGATTTTCTCTCTATGGGAGTTGCTCTTGCCAACTTGGATTTTACAGGAACAAGTTGTGTCATTTCTATCCTGACTTCACTAGTAGTCAGTTTTCTTGTTTGGAGGGTGCATATCTAGCCTAGGCCAGTGAAGTAGTGAAGCAAGGATGAAGAAGACAGCCCCAGTGTTTCCTCCTTTAAAGTTGGGGTTCAGCTATGCCAATTTTTACATTGCTCCAGCTTGGACCAATGTAAATATTTATGTGCCATACCTGTAGGATCCCTGTGGAAGTTGGATCTCACTGAATTAGACCAGGTGCAGAGGCAGGGTGGTGACATCACAATCTCCACCTTGTCCAATCAGAGAATGATTTGCATTCATTGAGAAAATGGAAGTGTCCTCTGACTGCTGCCTATGTCGAGAAAGCGACTTTCTGTGTTCACAGTGCAGCAGAACAGCCAATCGGAACAGGACCCGGAAGCTAGAGGAGATCAGTGTAATAGTGGTGCCTACCACAGCAATTTCCAGCATCCACAGGGATCCCACAGGTATGAAATATACAGTCAGGTCTATAAATATTGGGATATCAACACAATTCTAACATTTTTGGCTCTATACACCACCACAATGGATTTGAAATGAAACAAACAAGATGTGCTTTAACTGCGGACTGTCAGCTTTAATTTGAGGATATTTACAACCAAATCAGGTGAACGGTGTAGGAATTACAACACTTTGCATATATGCCTTCCACTTGTTAAGGGACCAAAAGTAATGGGACAATTGGCTTCTCAGCTGTTCCATGGCCAGGTGTGTGTTATTCTCTCATTATCCCAATTACAATGAGCAGATAAAAGGTCCAGAGTTAATTTCAAGTGTGCTATTTGCATTTGGAATCTGTTGCTGTCAACTCTCAAGATGAGATCCAAAGAGCTGTCACTATCAGTGAAGCAAGCCATCATTAGGCTGAAAAACAAAACAAACCCATCAGAGAGATAGCAAAAACATTAGGCATGGCCAAAACAACTGTTTGGAACATTCCTAAAAAGAAGGAACGCACCGGTGAGCTCAGCAACACCAAAAGACCCGGAAGACCACGGAAAACAACTGTGGTGGATGAGTGAAGAATTCTTTCCCTGGTAAAGAAAACACCCTTCACAACAGTTGGCCAGATCAAGAACACTCTCCAGGAGGTAGGTGTATGTGTGTCAAAGTCACCAATCAAGAGAAGACTTCACCAGAGTGAATACAGAGGGTTCACCACAAAGATGTAAACCATTGGTGAGCCTCAAAAACAGGAAGGCCAGATTAGAGTTTGCCAAACGACATCTAAAAAAGCCTTCACAGTTCTGGAACAACATCCTATGGACAGATGAGACCGAGATCAACTTGTACCAGAGTGATGGGAAGAGAAGAGTATGGAGAAGGAAAGGAACTGCTCATGATCCTAAGCATACCACCTCATCAGTGAAGCATGGTGGTGGTAGTGTCATGGCGTGGGCATGTATGGCTGCCAATGGAACTGCTTCTCTTGTATTTATTGATGATGTGACTGCTGACAGAAGCAGCAGGATGAATTGTGAAGTGTTTCGGGAATATTATCTGCTCATATTCAGCCAAATGCTTCACAACTCATTGGACGCCGCTTCACAGTGCAGATGGACAATGACCCAAAGCAGACTGCAAAAGCAACCAAAGAGTTTTTTAAGGGAAAGAAGTGGAATGTTATGCAATGGCCAAGTCAATCACCTGACCTGAATCCGATTGAGCATGCATTTCACTTGCTGAAGACAAAACTGAAGGGAAAATGCCCCAAGAACAAGCAGGAACTGAAGACAGTTGCAGTAGAGGCCTGGCAGAGCATCACCAGGGATGAAACCCAGCGTCTGGTGATGTCTATGCGTTCCAGACTTCAGGCTGTAATTGACTGCAAAGGATTTGCAACCAAGTATTAAAAAGTGAAAGTTTGATTTATGATTATTATTCTGTCCCATTACTTTTGGTCCCTTAACAAGTGGGAGGCACATATGCAAACTGTTGTAACTCCTACACCGTTCACCTGATTTGGATGTAAATACCCTCAAATTAAAGATGACAGTCTGCAGTCAAAGCACATCTTGTTTGTTTCATTTCAAATCCATTGTGGTGGTGTATAGAGCCAAAAATGTTAGAATTGTGTCCATGTCCCAATATTTATGGACCTGACTGTACCTACTTACCTTTCTCCAAGCTTGACCAATGAAATTATGTAAAAATGTAACCACTTTAGGTGTAATACCTGTTCACTCTTTATGGACCAAAGCAATTATACATTTCCACTATGGCCTCTTTATTTGGTGATACATTTTTTTCATAATTTTTTAAATTTGGTATTACTTTGTCATACGATATATTTAAAGATAATCAAGTAATGCATACATTCTTTATTTTGGACAATCAAGTATTTCTTTTGGCAATATTATCTTGCAAAAATTATTTTATTTTCTATGCAGTCTATAACAAAAATATGTAATCAGTGAGATCAGTGTTATTCATACCCTTGGTTCGACCTTCCCACATTGTTGCAGGTGTGGGAATCGCAGCTGTCCCGCCCCCCGCAACCACCCACAGCCAAACTGCGCTGCTCTTACAAGACACACAGGGGTGCCATTCATTCTTAATGGCACCTCCATACATCTCAACTCACAGTGCGTTTGCAGGTGCGGGAACTGCAGGGTAATCGCATGGTTAAAAGCACCATGCGATTTCTCCTCGACTGCATTTTTTTAAAAAAGTGCATGCATATTTTTTCTGTGTGAAACGGGGGCACAGCAGACCATTCAAAAGAATAGGCTGCCATGCCCGTGCAAACGTGGACCGCACAAGTGTAAACCTAGGCTTAAAGTATAACTAAACACAAAACTTTTTTTGTTTCAGATAGTGGAGATAGATTAGGATACCTGTCAGGTTTTTATTGCTACCTCTGCCCCTGTTAATGAGATTCATCCTATTGGTCCTGTTTACCATTATCGAGTAAGTGATAAGACAAAGTGAGCTGTCTTGTTATAGCAGCTGTAGCACTAGAGGTCACCATATAAACCTCAATAAAACTGTATAGATAAAAGTACAGCGCTAGTAAAATAACTAATAAAATGATATAATACGACAATAAAGGTTCATAAATAATCAGTATTAATGAATGATCCCCACTGTAGCAGAATTCAAATGCTTGTGCTTGGAAATAACGGTAAGATTGCGCACTCACCATATCCCATGTGCTTCTGGTGAGTGCGTAATTTTACCGTTACTTCCAAGCACAAGCATTTGAATTCTGCTACAGCGGGGATTATTCATTAATACTGATTATTTATGAACTTTTATTGTCGTATTATATCATTTTATTAGTTATTTTACTAGCGCTGCACTTTTATCTATACATGTTTACCATTATCACTGAAAGCAAAAATGAAAGAAAATCCCACATTTTGGGTTGTCCCCAGAACAGTAATAGAAGGGAAATCTTCCAATGGGGACACTTGACAGACACCAAGAGATTCCCTTAACCTCCTTATCGGCATTCCCGAGTGTAGCTCGGGGTAACATTTCAGTACCAAGAGCGGTAACCCCGAGCTACACTCGGGCTTACCATGCGGCGTTGCTCAGGGGATCCCTGCAGCACTTACCTTGTCCTTCGCTCCCGCGATGTGTCCCCTGCAGTGTCCCCGGCCATCTCCTCCGGCCGATGCCGGCATCCGGCTTCTGTGTTCCGGTCCCTGTGACATTGGGACGTACGGACGCCGGAACTTTGAAATTTTTAAAAAATGTCATTTTTGCTGTCATTGCTGTTTCAATGCATTTCACATATATTTTGTCCCTACTGCTTTGTCCGGCGCCCTGCCTGCATTTTGACTGTTCTTTCTGCCTGGAAACTTAGAAATGTCCATGGCGTCCAAAAAGCGTCCCTTTATGTCAAAAGCGGTTTTAGAACAGCGATAGTAAATCAGAACCAATTGCAGAATTGAGTGATAATGATTCGTGGGGGAAATTCGTCATCAGACACTGAAAACGATTTTGCGACTTTGCTCAGCGATGTGCGAATTTGCCTCTGTATTTCAAATTTCAGTGTTTTCGGTTTGATTATATTATTGAATTAAATGTATTATTATTATTATTATATTATTATTTTTTTATGATTATTTATTAAATTATAATTTATGATTTCGTGTTTCAAGTTTTATCATACCCGGAATGTTTACTAGACTCTTGTTCGGACAGATTTCAGTGAGTTATTCCTAAAAATTACAGCTTACAATAAAAAACTACATATTTCCATGCAAAAAAATGGTACCGCTTTCAGCACAAAAAATCGGAAAGAATCATACCGCCGAGGAGGTTAATTTTCAGAGATTTCCTCTCACTTCCTGTTTGGGCTATGGAACAGAAAGTGAAGTGAAATCTGCCCAATGGGACATCAGTGGAAATCAAAAACTGACATGGGTTATAACCCTCCCTTACTATATCCAAAATCCGAAATGAAAACAAAAAGCTTAATTGCAAAGTTATTTATAGATAAAAAGTGTTTTTTTTTCTAATTTTGCACATTATGTGAAAAAAATGGTTTAAATAATAATGGTAAAAAATTTTGAAAAATAAAAAAGCAGAAATGTAATAGCTAAGGGTAGAGGAGAAGTAGGGGTTAGTGGAGTTAACTAATGGTTAATAAGGGTTCAATTAAAGTAGAACTTTAGGCAATTTTTTTTTTTTCATTTTGGATAGAGTAAACCAGGGTTATAATCCCTGTCAGATTTTTTTTCACCATCTGTGTCCCATTGTGGAGATTTCCCTTCACTGCCTGTCCCATAGCCAAACAGGAGTGGAAATCCCAGCAAATTATGGGAATTTCTTGAGGATACCCAGGTCACCAGAACTAGTATCCTCATTGGACAATTTCCCCTCTATTACTTTTTTGGGGACAACCCAAAATTTGGGATTTTCTTACTTTTACTTGCCATAATAATAGTAAACAGGAGAAATAGAGAGGAGGAATCTCCTTAACAGAGGCACAGATAGCAATAAAAACTGACAGGGGTTCTAATCCATCTCCACTGTATACAAACTAAAAAAAAAAGTTTTGCCTTTAGTTATACATTAAGTACACTTTTCTAAAATGTATTTTAAAATGCATTTAATCTGCAAATATCAATGAGCAAATACAATGTAACAATGGTTACTCTGTATTTACTATTTCTTTTATATGTAGATCACATTTGTGACCTTTATCCCAAATTTTCTGATATCATATGCAAAATAAAGGTCGCAAATGTGATCTACATATAAATGAAATAGTAAATAAAGTGTAACCATTGTTACATTGTATTTGCTCATTGATATTTGCAGATTATCGGGTATTTGAACATGTGATACATAACAAGTCCCGGCTGTCATGCCGGTTATAGTGGCAGTGGGAAGGACCAGGGCATAGAAACTGCGATATGCCTCAAAAACCGTGTTAGGGCACATCTAAACCAAACGTCTTCCAGTGCTGAAAGTAGAACCAAACTAAATCACATATGTCTTATACAGGGGCAGACTGACAACTCATGGGGCCCCCGGGCAATAGGGGATCATGGGGCCCCTGTGTCCTTGCCCAAACTCAAAAAAGCCTATGAAAAAAGGTACCAGGGGCATCTCATGGGGCCCCCTATTGACCCCGGCCCTCGGGCAGTGCCCGAGTTTCCAAATAGTCCGCCCCTGGTCTTATATAATCTTTAATAAACTCATTACATCAATGTGATCTCAAAAGTAATTTTTCAAGCTTTTGAATTGATTGAATCAACACATATTGATTTTGCCATGAAGAACCTTGTTCAGTCAATTCCGGTTAGGGGTGACAATGCCCTGTACCGATCGCTGATTCACTCCACTGTCACTTGCATTTTTGCTGGAGACTACAAATGGCTGTGCTGATGTATGGGCAGGACAGTGGCTAAATGGTTAACATTTCTGCCTGGCAGTACTCGGGTCGCTGGTTCAAATCCCAACCACAGCACCACCTGCCTGGAGTTTGCATGTTCTCCCTGTGCTTGTGTGGGTTTCCTCTGGGTACTCCAGTTTTCTCCCACACTCCAAAGAAATGCTGGTAGGTAATTGGCTCCTGTCTAAATTAACCCTAGTATGTGTATGTATGAATGTGAGTTAGGGACCTTAGATTGTACGCTCCTTGAGGGTTAGGGATTGATACAATATATATGTAAAGTGCTGCGTAAATTGACAGCGCTATATAAGTACCTGTAATAAAAATAAATGCTTAGTATGCATGCATGTACCAGATGCAGTCTCTGTTTGGTTTTGGATAGAGTGAGGAGGGATTATAACCCCTGTAATTTTTGCTGTCTGTGCCCCCCATTAGGGAGATTTGTCCTCTCTATTTGTCCTATTTACCATTGTCATCGAAAGTGAAAGTAAACGAAACCCCACATTTTGGGTTGTCCCCGGAAAAATAATAGCGGGGACATTTCCCAAATGAAACACTAGTTCTGGAGAGCTGGGTGGCCCCCAAGAATTCCCTTAATTTGCAGGGATTTTCTCTCACTTCCTGTTTGGCTATGGGACATGAAGTGAAGGTAAATCTCCTTAATGGAACACGAATGACAAAAAATAAATTGACAGGGGTTATAACCCTCCCTTACTCTATCCAAAATGAAAAGACGTTTTGCCTATAGTTCTGCTTTAAGCCTGGATGGGGGATTCCATTGACTTTGCTAGTTCAGCCTGCCAGGCTCAAAGAAGGAAATCGAGCTGTGTGTGGCCGGCCTTAGGGATGTATCTCACCAGTGATTCCTCCATCAGAGACTCCTCATCAGGATGTCTGAAGTACAGCTCCACTTTACCTAACGGACATCACTCCCTTGCCATTGTGACTTCCATGGGTTTTGGCAACGGAAAGGAGCCGCAGGGGGAGCAAAACGAAGATAACAAGCAAGCAAGAATTTCACAAGAAGGTCAACAATGTCCTTCCCCATTAGTCTTCCGTGACAGGGCACTTTCATGTATCTCTAATGGTGCACATTCATTATTTGTTTCCTTTGCAGGGACCGCCTGACCCACAATGACATTATTGGAACCACTTACTTGAACATGTCCAAGATCTCAGCTCCTGGGGGGGGGAACTGGAAGGTAAGTACTCAGCTATCTTTCTACCTTTGCTCTTCCTTCTGGGCTGCTATGAGGCTGTTCTGGTGTTCTTTGTTGGAATGATGGTGGTATAGCTTGTTGTCTCCACTGGTGTCATGGCTTGGTGTTTCCACTGGTTTCATGGCTTGGTGTTTCCACTGATGTCATGGCTTGGTGTTTCCACTGGTGTCATGGCTTGGTGTTTCCACTGGTGTCATGGCTTGGTGTCTCCACTGGTGTCATGGCTTGGTGTCTCCACTGGTGTCATGGCTTGGTGTCTCCACTGGTGTCATAGATACTACTCGGCTCACCTTGTCTAAACAGACCCCCACCCTACCCAATGCATTAACCACACAGTATACTTACAGTGTAACCAGTTTATTGCTTGAGGGTTATCTGTAGTTAACAATTAAAGTGTATTTAACCCCCACAAAAAATGTAATATATACCTCTCCTTTTCAGTGGTGGCTACATCAGTTTTATTTTTCAGACTTTTTTTACTTAATTTATATCTGGTAATCCAGCAACTAACACACTCCCTAGGGTGACAAAGCTCACTTCTCCACGGAACCTGTGGAGGAGCAATGTTGTCACCCGAGGTGGATCATCTGGCTTGGACTACGAACAGCTTTTCCTCTGTATTACATGGAGGAGAGGGAAATATGTAGTTTGCAGAAGACAAATTGAAAGACGGTAACTTTGTGTTTTCAGTTCAGCTCATGGGAAGTGCAAATAAAACGTCATTTACAGCAGAATCAACAGGTATTTTCTGTACCGGCTAAAAATGATCTTTGTCTGAAAAATAAAAAACAAATACAGCCACCACATATTAGACTGGTAAGCATCAATACATATTTTTGTGGTTCTTGACTTGAGTATAGATATGCTTTAAGAAGAAAATTCCTAGACAGTAAATTAGCATAATACTGCTAATAATGAACATTTTATACAGCTTTTTTTTTTTAACAAATTCCTAGTGTCAGGTGGCCAGGGACAAATATGGGACACGTCATTGTTCACCTCTTTTTAAAACTGCTACCTGACTGGCTGCTCTGCTGATCCATTCTAATATTTTTGGTGTAATTGATGCAGTACAGGCTTGAATATCTGGAAAGGCGATGCAAAGTCAGTCCTCCCTGTCTGCATAATATTTCTGGGTCACTGGCTTGACTTATGGAAGCCACAGGGTCAGAATGATAGCCAAGCAACAAGCATTTTCAGGAGAGCTCAGCAATGGCAGCATCTAAGGTGCATTTGTTTTCATGATAGTTTACCTTTTGAGCTGGCCACACACTTTTCTTTTCTTTTCTTTTGATCTCGGTAAAGCTCTGTGTCAGTTGGCACCCTAAAATTACTAAATGGCTTCTGAATTCTGCAAGAATGTGTTTAAAGCTGCTATTATCCTTATTGCTTCAGTCCATCCAAAACCAATTTTTCATTGTTTGCTAGAGAGTACAACCCCCTAGAGCAGTGGTTCTCAACCTTCCTAATGCCGTGACCCTTTAATATAGTCCCTCATGTTGTGGTGACCCCCAACCATAAAATTATTTACCCAGTAATTATAATTCATGAGTGTCGTTTTACCTCCAATACTGCTGCTTTCAACACAGTAGCTGCATTTAACAGAGTAGCTGCTTTCAACACAGCAGCTGCTTTCTACACAGTAGCTGCTCTTTACACATCGGAAATATGTGTTTTCTGATGGTCTTAGGGGACCCCTGTGAAAGGGTCGTTCATCCCCCAAAAAGGGTCGCGACCCACAGGTTGAGAACCACTGCCCTAGAGGATAACCTGCATCATATAGCTCAGGGGTGCTCAGCTTTTTAAAGACCGAGGGCCACTTTGGTAACCTGTTGTGGGCCTCGATGAAATGAAATGAAATGGTTCAGAATTTTTTATATTTTATTTTGAATAGCATAATGAACATTTTCGTCCTGCAGCCACTGAATGCTGGAGAGAGGGAAGAGAAGCTGACTTTCAGCAGTTGCAGGAGGAAAATGGAGAGGATTGGTTTTTGTGTGTGCCATCCCTGACGCCCCTTCTGTCCAAGTGTAAAACAGAATATGACAGGGAGGCCACATGGGCCCCCTGGAGAATAGGACAGGACCGCCATTACAACACCTGATGCTACATCAGTGATTGGAAGGTATGGTAAAAACATGTTTCAACTATGAGGTTTTACTGTCCCCAAAACCAAAAAAGGCTGCTCTCACACTGATGTGCTGCGGTTTACCCACACTGCAGGTGCAGTACAGTGCACCTGCAGCTTTCCTGTAGGCTAGCTGCACTTTGCCATAGACTTCAGTTTGAGGTTGAGGGCCAAATCAGAGGCCTCCGAGAGCCAGATGTGGCCCATGGGCCACAGGTTGAGCACCCCTGATCTAGCCCTTTACTCACCAGCCTGATTGTCTTTGGTCTGCCTTTTTCATTTATCAAATTTCAGTTCTTTCAATCATGGAGGCTCAGCATCACGTGGACATTACCTAGGATGGTTTGCAGGGCTGCTGTTAGAAACCACAGAGCCCCATAAAGCCAACCTGACAGGGCCCCCCCCCCCCCTCAAGAAAAACACAGTTTACTATGCTTCAGTTATGAATGAACACAGTGAGGGATCGATACCAATCAGGGGCAGACTGACCATTTGGAAACTCGGGCACTGCCCGAGGGCCCGGGGTCAGTAGGGGGCCCCATGAGATGCCCCTGATACCTTTTTCATAGGCTTTTTTGAGTTTGGGCAAGGACACAGGGGCCCCATGATCCCCTATTGCCCGGGGGCCCCATGAGTTGTCAGTCTGCCCCTGATACCAATCACTCATTGTGTTCATTCAGGAAAGTAAGGGGTTGGTAAATGTGACATATTTACCTGACCCTTTCCTACTCTCCATCCTCAAGGATCCTATTGCGTGCTTGCAGCTGCTGGTGGGAAGGAGTGGAGGGAAGACAGCAGTATTGTGGGGGTGGGGGCACACAGGGGGGCCTGGGCAGCAGGGGGAAATTTATGGTGCACAGGGAGGGTGATGGGTGCAGTGGGGGGGGGGGGGCAATTATTGGAACTGATCCCCTGAGAAACCGACTTTCAGCTGCTGCAGATGAAGCCATACAGAGAATCGATTCCAGCAATTGACCCCCACCATGCTGATCACCCTCCCTGCCCACATCCAATTCACCCAGCTGCCTGGGCCCCTCTGCTGGCCTGGACCCCCCACTGGAGGACTGGTGGTACCCCCTTATCTACGGCCCTGGAGGTTTGCATACAAATACTGCCTGACTAGGAACGCCCACTCCTCCCAACTGACATCCACCCATCAAGGCATTTTTATATTCGCATAACTCCTCCCAAGAGCCCGCACGCTGCTTATACAGAGAAGTACTGAGACAGGGTGCTATAATCTTTTTGGGAAGTTATATACAACACCCTGCTGGCCCCTCCCACCAGCCTGCCTGCATTGCATATAAAAGCAAAATGATGACATCACTAGGTGTAAAGTAAGGTATGTCATGAAAATGGAAATATTTTATTTTTAAATGTTATTACCATATTGATCAGGAGAGGAGAAAGGAACAGTTTAAACGACAGCTTCAAGTATCTCAATTCAAAGTACAAATACCTGGAAAAGAAGCAAGTGAATATTCACCCTTCATCCCTGGTTCACACTGATGTGGTGCGGAATTTGCAGCATTTCAGTACGAATTCCGCACCAAATCAGAATCGCACCCCGTTCATGCGAACTGCTGCAGTTGTGTATGTTAAGCAGGGGCGGACTGACAACTCATGGGGCCCCGGGCAATAGGGGATCATGGGGCCCCTGTGTCCTCGCCCACACTCAAATCACACCCAAAAAAGCCTATGAAAGGTACCAGGGGCATCTTATGGGGCCCCTTACTGCCCCTGGGCCCTCGGGCAGTGCCCCAGTTTCAGAATGGTCAGTCCGCCCCTGATGTTAAGTTAACAACACCCTGAAAGCAGTCCGCTAAACGTGGTGTGATGTGTAGAATCGGATCGCATAGCTGTGAATACCCGTGCAATCCGATTCTAGTGCGGACCTAAAAAAGGGTCCTTTGTGTGTGGTGCGACTAGAGCCATACAGAATGTATGGCTCAAATCGCACCACACACAAATCGCATGTGATTTGCACAGAAATGCGGTACAGTTCCTGTGTGAATCACGTGATATACGGCACCGCATATATGTGAACCCAGGTTCATGCTGTCTGTGTGGCCAGAATGCTGCTTTGAGTGTAAGAAATCCCCCACTGAAGTCAGAAGGGAAATTGACTCTTCCGGGGGTGTCAGTCTCCTGACTCCCATGCATTGTTCAGTGGTTCCCCATTACAGCACTCACTAGTGATGTGGAGCTCAGAGGCAGAAAACACTGAACACTGCTGGGGACCCAGGAGATTGACACTCCTGGAAGTGTCAGCTTCCCTGCAGACCCGCAGGACCAGGCAGCAGAAAAGCAAGTATTCCCTCCATATATCTTGATAACTGAAGACAGGGCGGTGTGTCATTTCATGCATCCTTTGCTGCATATTGGTTCCTCCAGCTCTGCATGAGCTCTTTGAAGTGGTTTTTATATAGTGGTGTTTCTGCAGCATCCTTTGCATGATCTTGGCTTTTTTCGGTCTAACAAAGCCACTCACCTGCTTTGTGCTATATCACCTGAACCACTGATGATCAACACAACACATTCTCAGAACTGCAACACATTTGGACTATTCCCGGTATTGCACACTCTGCATGCACCACAGCTTAGTGACCACACCAAAGACTTTGGGGACCTATAGAACTGGGGGCTCCGTCTGTCCAAAATATAATACAGTATATAGATTAATCAACTTCAATCCAAAGCTGCCCCCCAGCAGTACTTCTTCTCCGTCACATGATGCAGTCCCTCTTGGCAACATTTTGGCAGACAAAATGTTGACGTTTGTAAATACGTTCAGGCGCATCAAGAGCTTGGGCTGTAATTCATTTAATTGGCCAGAATAATAATTTATTCTGTCCATTGAAACTAATTGATGCTGTGTTTAAATGTGTTTCACTTGTCAAATGTCTTTGTTCTGCCAAAATGCTGCTGTTGCAGTGGATTCTGCCTCTAAACTCCTCTAAATGCCTATGTGTGCATGGATACATAGGCTAGCATGCAGGAGCGTTTAGAGGCAGAAAAAATAAACACTAGACGCCTCTAACAGCAGAATAAAAAACATGCACTGTGCATGAGGTCTTAGGGGTTGATTGACTAAAGGCAAATATTTATTTATTTATTTCAGGTACTTATATAGCTCTGTCAATTTACACAGCACTTTATATATATATATTGTACATTCCCATCAGTCCCTAACCCTCAAGGGGCGTACAGTCTAAGGTCCCTAACTCACATTCATACATACACATACTAGGGACAATTTAGACAGGAACCAATTAACCTACCAGCATGTCTTTGGAGTGTGGGAGGAAACCCACACAGGCACAGGGAGAACATGCAAACTCCAGGCAGGTGGTGCTGTGGTTGGGATTTGAACCAACAACCCTAGTGCTGCCAGGCGGAAGTGCTAATCATTTAGCCAATGTGCACTTTTGCAAGTACAGTTGCTCCAGAAGTTAGTAAATGAGACAAAGCTCCACTTTACAAAGAAAACCCAATCACATGCAAGGCAAATTAAAAATACAGCATTTTTGCTTGCACATGATTGGACGGTCACGTGTAAGGGTAGCACAGTAGCTAAATGGTTAGAACTTCTGCCTAGCAGTACTAACGTCATTGGTTCAATTCCCAACTACTGCACCACCTCCCTGGAGTTTGCATGTTCTCCCTGTGCCTGCGTGGGTTTCCTCCCACACTCCAAAGACATGCTGGTAGGTGAATTGGATCCTGTCTAAATTGTCCCTAGTATGTGTTAGTATGAATGTGAGTTAGGGACCTTAGATTGTACACCCCTTGAGGGTTAGGGACTGATGTGAATGTACAATATATATGTAAAGTGCTGCATAAATTGATGGTACTATAGAAGTACCTGAAATAAATACATAAAAATAAAATGATGAAAGTCAGCAGAAATCTTTCACTTACTAAGCTCTATATCAACTGTACTTGCAAATGCACAGTCCCTTTGCCTGTAGTAAATGAACCCCTGTGTGCTCCATGAGCATGGCTCCCTGTACTCACAGAGGTTGATCTACTAAAGGCAATAGACTGTGCACTTTGCATTTGCAGTTGCTACAGAGCTTAGTAAATGGGATGAAGCTTCACTTTGCAAAGCGTACCCAATCATGCGCAAGGAAAAAAAACTGCATTTTTGCTTGCACATGATTGGATGATGGAAGTCAGCAGAGCTTCTCCTCATTTAATAAGCTGCGGGCGACTGAACTTGCAGAGCACATTTGCCTTCAGTAAATCAACCCTACAATGTATTGATGCACAGAAAGACACCTTTCAGGTTCAACCACTGCCAGGAGACTAAATTTGTAAATATTTGATTTTATCTTTTCATGTGACAACACTGAAGAAATGACACTTTGCTACAATGTGAAGTAGTCAGTGTACAGCTTGTATAACATGTAAATTTGCTGTCCCCTCAAAATAACTCAATACACCGCCATTAATGTCTAAACCGCTGGCAACAAAAGTGAGTCCACCCCTAAGTGACAAGGTCCAAATTGGGCCCAATTAGCCATTATCCCTCCCAGGTTTCATGTGACTTGTTAGTGTTACAAGGTCTCAGGTGTGAATCGGGAGCGGTTTGTTAAATTTGGTGTTATCGCTCTCACTCTCTCATACTGGTCACTGGAAGTTCAACATGGCACCTCATGGCAAATAACTCTCTGAGGATCTAAAAAAAAAGAATTGTTGCTCTACATAAAGATGGCCTAGGCTATAAGAAGATTGCCAAGACCCTGAAACTGAGCTGCAGCACGGTGGCCAAGACCATATAGTGGTTTAACAGGACAGGTTCCACTCAGAACAGGCCTTGCCATGGTCCACCAAAGAAGTTGAGTGCACATGCTCAGCATCATATCCCGAGGTTGTCTTTGGGAAATAGACATATGAGTGCTGCCAGCATTGCTGAAGAGGTTGAAGGGGTGGGGGGTCAGCCTGTCAGTGCTCAGACCATACGCCGCACACTGCATCAAATTGGTCTGCATGGCTGTCATCCCAGAAGGAAGCCTCTTCTAAAGATGATGCACAAGAAATTCCGCAAACAGTTTGCTGAAGACAAGCAGACTAAGGACATGGATTACTGGAACCATGTCCTGTGGTCTGATGACACCAAGATAAACTGATTTGGTTCAGATGGTGTCAAGCGTGTGTGACGGCAACCAGGTGAGGAGTACAAAGACAAGTGTGTCTTGCCTACAGTCAAGCATGGTGGTGGGAGTGTCATGGTCTGGGGCTGCATGAGTGCTGACGGCACTGGAGAGCTACAGTTCATTGAGGGAACCATGAATGCCAACATGTACTGTGACATACTGAAGCAGAGCATGATCCCCTACCTTCGGAGACTGGGCTGAAGGGCAGTATTCCAACATAATGACCCCAAACACACCTCCAAGATGACCACTGCCTTGCTAAAGAAGCTGAGGGTAAAGGTGATGGACTGGCCAAGCATGTCTCCAGACCTAAACCCTAATGAGCATCTGTGGGGCGTCCTCAAATGGAAGGTGGAGGAGCGCAAGGTCTCTAACATCCAGCATCTCCGTGATGCCATCATGGAGGAGTGGAAGAGGTGGCAACCTGTGAAGCTCTGGTGAACGCCATGCACAAGAGTGTTAAGGCAGTGCTGGAAAATAATGGTGGCCAAACAAAATATTGACACTTTGGGCCCAATTTGGACATTTTCACTTAGGGGTGTACTCACTTTTGTTGCCAGCGGTTTAGACATTAATGTGTGTGTTGAGTTATTTTGAGGGGACAGCAAATTTCCATGTTATACAAGCTGTACACTCACTACGTCACATTGTAGCAAAGTGTCATTTCTTCAGTGTTGTCACATGAAAGGATAGAATAATGTTTACAAAAATGTGAGGGGTGGACTCACTTCTGATACTGTAACAATAAATTAAAAACATAACATAATGCTGGTGAGAGATTCAAGATAGGATGGCGTCCTCTGAGGGAAGAGCCTGAAGCCCAGATCTGGCTTTGAACAACAACCCCCCACCCAGTTATAGTCACCTTCCCTTCACTCACTTGCTACTTTGTTCCTCTGTCACAGCCAAGAGTTCAAACCCAGTATGCCTTGAAGGGCAAAGATAATGACTTCCCCCCTACCCCACACCCATGAAGGTAGGAGGTAACATAAATCACCAAATATTTCCCAAGGGCTCCAGTGGATTGTGAAGGGAGTGCAAGAAAGGATATTATTGATGGGGGAGTGGAAGATTGCTCTTTCAAGGGAACTGGAACTTTGCTCACCTTGCTAACATGTCCAGAAGAAACCTGAACTAGAAAATTCTGGAGTAACTCTTGCAGCCAGGCTCGTAGTGAGAGTAGATGCTCTGCAAACTGAGGACAGGCATGGGGAGGCATAAGGTGAGATTACAGAGAGAGCTCAGGGTTTGTACCATCGCCAGTGATGTTTAGAAAGATATTTAAAGGGTTACTCCATGTCAGGTTTTTACGTCCTGTATCCATGTGAAAGAGGTCACATCCATTCCATCCAATTGGAAAAGTCATATTTTTGTCATAGGACTCCCACTACTCCTGCCTATAGCATTAACTGATCATGATGGAAGTGGGTTTTTTTTTCTATTTTTTTAAATGACAGGCTTGTGACATCACACCTTGGATGTCATCCATGACAGTTTCCCACAATGCCCAGTTTCTCAGGAATGTGTTGTGAGCTGCAATGGTTCATGATATCTCCTTGCACTCCTGCATGTGATATAACCTGTCCTCAGCCAGTCCATCCTTCCATCCTCATTATGTCATTACTGTCAGCTAACCAACAATTGTCTCTTTATGCTCCAGATGAGGCTCCGGGCTCAGCGACTGCAGTACTTAACAGTACGTCCCATGTAATGTTGTGTGGATATTGCACAGTTTGGTCCACGGTGTGCCATTCTGATACAGGATGATTTAAAGAAGCACTCTAATAAACTCTCTCTGTATCTGAACTGGCCGCACAATGAAGGAAAAAAAACAAGGGGTCCTTAAAGTGGTCTAATCTAATTTGCTATTTTTTTGTGGAAAGTACAATTCTGCCATTTTTACCCAATTATGAAGCGGCTCTGGGCAATCTCTGCTTATTTTTATTATCGTTTGACTGAGGTTAAAATTATACTTGAAAAATACATTTAGGCAGTTTCTGAAGACTGTCCATCCATCTATTGGCTTGTCAAGATTTTGTGATCATGTTTTAGTAGGGGTTTTGGTCTATAAGATTGTATTAAAAATTATACCGGCTGTCCACATAACAATAAAAAAGAAAAAAAAAACACTAAACAGAGAAGGTAAGTCTTGGCAAAGGGGGGTTCTGTGAAATTTAGAATCCACAGTATCCCTCTTATACATCTAATATCTGCTGCGTTTTCAGCTGGCAAGTATGGAGGTATATTCTGGCATGTGAAAAAGTAAATACACCTCATGGGATTTGATGACTTTTTTCACATATACTGTATGAATGAGCAAACATTAGATCTTCATTCAAACATCGCCTACATATAACGGTGATTAGCTTGAATAAAAACCACCAGAAAAATATACCTCTTCAATCATTTATTTAGCAACAATATCAATAAATCCATGGATGGTAAAAAGTAAGTACACCCTTGGTCTCAGAATCCGATATTGTCCTCTCTAGCAGGAATGACTTCTTGGATACTTGCTCACCAGTGTCCGATGTTCATTAGATTACATTTTTAACCACTTTTTCATGCAAAATTCCTTTAGTTGCAAAATGTTTGTGGGTTTCCTTACATGAACTGCCCATTTCAAAAGGGGGTTGACTAGGGCTGTCCATCACCCTCTAATTCTTTTTTTCTTTGGCCATTTGTTGATGGATTTGCCAGTGGGCTTTGAATGATTACTGTGTTGAAATACTTATTTCTGGTTTAACTTCAACATTTAGACAGACGACCTCACATTTTCATTAAGCACACTTTAATATTATGCAGAATGTATAGATGACTGTGGGTTGTTCAGGCCATGAAGCAGCAACCCTAAACCATAACATTTCCACTTCCTTGCTTTACAGTTATGAGTCTCTTCTACTGAAATGTTGCTTTCGGTTTGCCCCAAACATGTCTACTGTTTCAGAAGGCCCAGTCTTTGCATATATGCTCAGTGGCAAACTATAACCTTGCTGTAAGGTTCTTTTTGGTCAGGAAAGGCTTTTTGTAATGCTCTTCTCATGCAGGTTGAGTTGGCGTAGTCTCTTTCTGATTGTAGACACAGTGGGGTTTATTTACTAAAGCTGGAAGGTCCAAAATCAGACTCCCTTCTGCCTAGAAACCAATCAGCTTCCAGGTTTCATTGCCAAAGCTTCATTGAACAAGCTGAGGTTAGAAGCTGATTGGTTTCTATGCAGAAGGACTCTCCAGCTTTAGTAAATAAACCCCAGTATATCCACTTTGACTCCAACTGTTGCAAGAATTACCTGAACACCCCTCTTCGCCATTACATTTTGGGCTTCTTCTGTCATCCAATGGGCTCCTGGGCTGAATTTTTGAGTTGGCCAGTTCTGGACAAGTTAGCAGTCATTTGAAATTTGCACCATTTGTAGATGATATACCTTACAGTAGAATGATTCCTTTCAGATCATTCGGTGAGCTTTTTAAATCCCCTGCTACATCTAGCACTTTCCTTTTGAGGGCCTTAGAGTCTATTGATCTTGGTATGATGACAATACAAATATCAACAGCAATGAGAACACCAAGCCCTAGGTATCTAAGGTTTAAATACGTTTTTAGGGTTGTACCAGTAACAGTATTGGTATTGATGCCGATACTAAGCATTTGCATGAGTCCTTGTACTGGTGCAAATGCTCTGATACCTAAAACCGATACCTTTTTCGTGTGGTGTGGTGTGTTTTCAGCCCATATAAAATGAATGGGCATATCACCCTGCAAAGAATCGCATGTGATTTGAACAAGAATGCTGTGTGATTCCTGTCCGAATCACATGTGGCTTCCTGCATTGCTCCTGTGTGGACCCAGGCTTGTCGTAGTGACTTTTACCTGGGTTCACAGAGGAGCGGTGCAGAAAACCACATGTGATTTGGACAGGAATCGCACTGCATTCCTGTTCAAATCACATGTGATTCTTTGCAGTGCGATCTGAGCCCATTCATTTTGTATGGGCTTAGATTATTATTATACAGTGTTTATATAGCACCAAAAAGTTTGCTCAGCGCTGTACAATATAGTGGGGGATAGTACATGAGACAATACAGTAACAAGACCATATACGAGGGGTTCGAGGGCCCTGCTCTTTCGAGCTTACAATCTAGGATTGCACCGAATCGCATGAAAAATAGGTATCGGTAATTGGTATCAGCGAGTACCTAATAAAACGTATGAGTACTCATTCTTAAAAAAAACTGGTAAACTGGTAGCGGTGCATCTCTAAAGGTTTTACCTGCATACTGCTGAAGGCTGGGCTTTCACTATAGTGGGTTTGGTAATGCGTGTAAATCACATGTTCCCACACCCACAGCCAAAGTGCACTGCTGTTTAGCAGTCAAATCTTAATGGCGCCCCCATGCACTTGAAAACGTGGCACATATTCAGGTGCTTGAAACTGCATGATGCCAAAGCATCAAATAAGGGTCAGGGACTTTTTCCCTTCGTTTCCTGCAGGTACAGCAGCCCATTCACATGAATGGGCTTCTAAGTCTGCACAAATGCAAGCCACACCACCTGCAATAGTGTGAACCTGAACTAAGGAGGGTCTGCCTGATCATGGATTTGAAATGATGGGAAATGTAGGGGTTTACTTACTTTTTCTATATTACAGATCTGCATTTCATTCATTTAGCTCATAAAAATGAATATACCATGTCAGTTATAAATTTTATTTGTTCAAGCAGATCACCTTTTTCGGTAAGCACTATTTTAAAACGGAGTTCCACTCACACTGCAAAAAAATAAAAGTCAGCAGCTACAAAAACTGTAGCTGCTGACCTTTAAAAAACAGCCACCCACCTGTCCTTCGATCCCGCGGTGTCCTCCCCGCAGCCCATTTCTCCGGCCTTGTGGTGTTCCTGGCACTGGTATCTTCAGTGTGGTGGGCACCCGGCTGTGACAGCTTGCGGCTTCATAGCTGGGTGCTCATTGCGCATGTGCAAATAGCTCTGCGCTTTCTAAATGGCCCCGTAGTCTTCTAGGACCTGTCACGTGTCCCAGAAGTCTATGAGCGGGGGGGGGGACGACAACTTGTGCTTCCGATCGCCTAGGCAATCCCAGCGAAAGTGGGAGCGGGTACCTGTCAATTTCGGGTACCCCCTCCATAAAGGTGCCAGTCCTTAATGGGGAGTGGGGGACCAGTCTTTAAACCTAAGTTTAGTTAAAGATTTTTTTTCTTTAAGTGTAGCCACCCTGTCCTAAACAGGGAATACTATCTGAATGTAGTCTTGCTGGGTGGTAGTCAGCCCAGACTGATTTATAGGCTGTTTATTTGGTTTTTCCCTGAACTCAGTGGAGCTGTGGTTTCTGTCTGCTACCAGTAGGTGTCACTGGTACCTCTGGCAATAGTGTGGTAAGATACAGTAATACTGAGTTATAAATATTTCTCTAGCCAACCAGTAGGAGGTTTATTGCCACTAGTGCATGCTGGGGGGAGTATAAATATTTGGGGTGGACCTTTTGAGCTCTTCTTCCTTGGCTGCAGCCTGGAGAGAGTGCATGATGAGCTATCAGGGAGGCCTTTCTCATTGCAAATGCCTGGAAGCAAAAGAAGCCTGCCTGTATAGTCTAATCCTGCTGCTAGAGGCCCTTGGCTCAGGAAGCTCTGCAGAGGACAGAGGAGGAAGAAGTGATGCTCCCTATGGAGGGGAAATTGTGAAGGCTGGAAAACATTTGGAGGATCACTGTGGAGGCTGTTGCTATAGGAAACTACTGCTTCTTCTATAAAAGGTACAGGTTGCTGGTTTCACCTTCGGGTTCATTCACACGTGCAGTGGCTGGTGTCCGATGAGGTCTGGTGGGATCATTGCACTATAAAATAGATGATGACCTTGTGCTCGGTTTCCTGCAATAACCCCTACTTTAGGAGACTGCTGTTACCCCAAATATCTGAATACAAGATATCAACTACAAACTGTGCAAAGATGGGGAAATGTCTGAGAGGGGGTGCCGTGCGACTTTTCAGTGATGGAAACTACAGCCCTGGCCAAAAGTTTAGAGATTGACACAAATATTAATGTTCACAAAGTCTGCTGCTTCATTGTTTTGAGATCTTTTTGTCTGATGTTACTATGGTATACTGAAGTATAATTATAAGCATTTCATAAGTGTCAAAGGCTTTTTACTGCCAATTACCTTAAGTTTATGCAAAGAGTCAATATTTGTAGTGTTGACCCTTCTCTTTCAAGTCCTCTGCAATTCGCCCTGGCATGCTGTCAATCAACTTGTCTGGATCCTGTCAACGGCAGAAGTTCTAGAAGATCTGGCATTCCAGTACCCTGGCCACAGAAGCGCACGTTGGCAAAGATCCATGCGCATTGGCACACGGACGCAAGCCGAAACACGCATGATTTCCTGTTACCAACCCGGCCTGCTCTTGGACCTGTCTTCTTTGTCTGACTCCTGACTTGACCCCGGCTTGACTTCCCGGATATTCTCTCCCGCTTCTCTGTGTATGACCCTGGCTATCCTATTGACTACGTCTGCTCTAACTTCCACCTGGCACTTGACCTTCGCTTTGAACTGACTACTCTGTGGTCCTCTGTTTCTCTGAAAGCTTGCATACCGCCCTTAGGCGCCACCTATCTGCAGACTCCATTCCAGTGCATCAGCTGTGCTCCTGGGTGTACCTCCGACCAGCACTTCTACAGGCGACCTGTGCTACTTTGGGCCCGACTCCTGCTGTCCCATATCCAGGGGAGTCTGGAACTCAGCCGTAAGAGAAGCCCTCTCTCCATTGGCCTCCATCACCAGGTATATGATACAACTTCTGGGCTACATCCTGACTGATGGCAGCCCATTCTTTCATAATCAGTGCTTGGAGTTTGTCACAATTTGGGTTTTTTTTTTTTGTTCACCCACCTCTTGAGGATTGACCACACGTTCTTAATAGGATTAAGGTCTGGGCCGGGGAGTTTCCTGGCCATGGACCCAAAATTTTGATTATTGTTCCCCAAGCCACTTAGTTATCACCTTTACCTTATGGCAAGGTGCTTCATCATGCTGGAAAAGGCATTGTTCGTCACCAAACTGTTCTTGGATGGTTGTGATAAGTTGCTCTCAGAGGGAGTTTTTGTACCATTCTATATTAATGGTTGTGTTCTTGGGCGAAATTGTGAGTGAAATTGGCAATCCCACATGTGGATGGTCTCTGGATACTTAACTGTTGGCATGACACAGGACTGATGGTAGCTCTCATCTTTTCTTCTCCGGACAAGGTTTTTTCCAGATACCCCAAACAATTGGAAAGGGGATTCATCATAGAAAATGACTTTCCCCCAGTCCTCAGCAGTCCAATCCCTGTACCTTTTGCAGAATATCACTGTCCCTGATGTTTTTCCTGCCCTTTGCAGCCCTTCTTGACACCACACCATCCTCCAAAAGTCTTCTCCTCACTGCGCATGCAGATGCACTCACACCTGCCTGCTGCTATTCCTGAGCAAGCTCTGCACTGGTGGTGCCCCAATCCCGCAGCTGAATCAAGTTTAGGAGACAGTCCTTGTGCTTGCTGGACTTTCTTGGGAGCTCTGAAGCCTTCTTCACAACAATTGAACCTCTTTCCTTCAAGTTTTTGATCATCCGATAAATGGCTGATTTAGGTGCAATCTTAGTAGCAGCAATATTGTTACCTGTGAATCCCTTTTTGTGCAAAGCAATGATGACTGCACGTGTTTCCTTGCAGGTAAATTAATATTTGTGTCATTCCCAAAACTGTTGGTCAGGGCTGTATAATATAGTTTTATAAATGGAGGAGGAGGAAGGACTCTTTAACAAGTATCCAGGGGCGGACTGACAACACATGGGGCCCCCGGGCAATAGGGGATCATGGGGCCCCTGTGTCCTTGCCCAAACTCAAAAAAGCCTATGAAAAAGGTACCAGGGGCATCTCATGGGGCCCCCTACTGACCCTGGCCCTCGGGCAGTGCCCGAGTTTCCAAATGGTCAGTCCGCCCCTGCAAGTATCTATGACAGGTCCAGCGGCTGTAATAACCCCCGCAGCACTGGAAGATTACCACTGCAGGGGGTGTACAGTAGGTGGCGGCAGAGGACAGATTTCAACTACAACAGTTGGCACCAGCACAAGGGACACTTCCCAATAAATGTAAGTACCATCTCTTGTGCTGATTTAAAAAAAAAAAACAAATGACCAAACTTGGGCATTTTTAAATCAAAAATCAGGCCTGCACATAGGACATCTGTTAAAGCCCCTCTGAAGTCCTGTCAGGAAAATGCTTAAACACGAGCTAAAAGCTACATATTGCACATGTGTTTAGGCAGGTCTAGCATTTGAGCATTATTGCATTCGATTGGACGGAATATAAATTCAATGCATTCAGATGCGTTTAGGCGTGTTTAGCATTTTTTTGTGCTCTTCAGATCCTCTTCTGAAAACGCCTTTGGTAGGTTTTTCTTTCATCCTGTAATCGCTCCTCTTCTAGTACATGTATGTGTTCATAGTTAGGTTTACATAAAGGTGCTTTTACAAGCTAGAAAAAAAAAAAATGCTCAACTTCTGTAAAAGAAGCATCTTTAGGCTCTATGTGCACGAGCCCTAATGTTTGCCTTTTCAACATATTGAAAATACACAACATTTCTATGGTGTACTTTTTCACATGCAAGTGTGTGTGTGTATATATGTGTGTATGTATATGTGTGTGTATATATATATATATATATAGTTGCAAGACAAAGTATGTGAACCCCTTGGGATTACGTGGAGTTTTGCATGAATTGGGCATAAAATGTGCTCTGAAAGTCATCTAAGTCACAACAATAGAAGAACACAGTCTGCTGAACATAATACTACACAAACATTAGATGTTGCCATGGTTTAATTGCACATAACATGTAAACATTCACAGTGCAGGGAGGAAAAAGTATGTGAGGCCCTAGCTTAATGACTTCTCGCAGAGCTAATTGGAGCCAGGAGTGAGCCAACCTTGACTCCAATCAGTGTGATGATATTGGATGTGTTGCTGACAGCTGTCCTGCCCTTAAAAAACACACACTTGTTTTGGGTTTACTGGTTTCAAGCAGCACTGTCTGATGTGAACCATGCCTCGCAGAAAAGAGCTCTCAGAAGACCTACGATCAAGAATTGTTGACTTGCATGAAGCTGGAAAGGGTTACAAAAGTATCTCCAAAAGCCTTGATGTTCATGTGTCCACGGTAAGACAGACTGTCTACAAATGGAGAAAGTTTAGCACTGTTGCTACTCTCCCTAGGTGTGGTCGTCCTGTAAAAATGACTGCAAGAGCACAGCGCAGAATGCTGCATGAGGTAAAGAAGAATCCCAGAGTGTCAGCTAAAGACCTACAGAAATCTCTGGCACATGCTAACATTTTTGTTGACACATCTACAATAAGGAAAACATTAAACAAGAATGGAGTACATGGGAGGACACCACGGAGGAAGCCATTGCTGTCCAAAAAGAATATTGCAGCACGTTTGAAGTTTGCAAAAGAGCACCTGGATGTTCCACAGCACTACTGGCAAAATATACTGTGGACAGATGAAACCAAGATTGTGTTGTTTGGGAAGAACACACAACACTATGTGTGGAGAAAAAAAGGCACAGCACACCAACATCAAAACCTCATCCCCACTGTAAAACATGGCGGAGGGAGCATCATGGTTTGGGGCTGCTTTGCTGCCTCAGGGCCTGGACGGATTGTTGTCATTGATGGGAAAATGAATTCCAGAGTTTATCAAGGCATTTTGCAGGAAAACGTACGACCATCTGTCCGCCAACTGAAGCTCCGCAGAGGATGGGTGATGCAACAGGACAATGACCCAAAGCATACAAGTAATTCAACAAAACAATGGCTGCAACAGCACAGAATATGCCTTCTGGAGTGGCCCAGTCAGAGTCCTGACCTCAACCTGATTGAAATGCTGTGGCATGACCTTAAGAGAGCGATTCACACCAGACATCCCAAGAATATTGCTACACTGAAACAGTTTTGTGAAGAGGAGTGGTCCAAAATTACTCCAGATCGTTGTGCAGGTCTGATCTGCAACTACAGGAAATGTTTGGTTGAGGTTATTGCTGCCAAAGGAGGGTCAACCAGTTATTAAGTCCAAAGGTTCACATACTATTTCCTCCCTGCACTGGGAATGTTTACATGTTATGTGCAATTAAACCATGGCAACATCTAATGTTTGTGTAGTATTATGTTCAGCAGACTGTGTTCTTCTATTGTTGTGACTTAGATGACGTTCAGAGCACATTTTATGCCCAATTCATGCAAAACTCCACGGAATCCCAAGGGGTTCACATACTTTTTCTTGCAACTGTATATTAGTGCCAATTTAGACAGTAGCTGATTAACTTACCAGTGTGTCTTTGGAGTGGAAGAAACCCACATAGGCACATGGAGAACATGCAAACACCAGGCAGGTAGTGCTGTGGTTGAGATTAGAACCAACAACCCTAGTGCTGCCAGGTGGAAGTGCTAACCAGTTAAGCCGCTGTGCTGGCCAAAATTATTTGGTGCTACGGGATGGCATGGTTTGCATACAGTATACAGTGGATATAAAAAGTCTTCACACCCCTGTTAAAATGTCAGGTTTCTGTGATGTAAAATAATGAGATAAAAATAAATCATTTCAGAACTTTTTCCACCTTTAATGTAACCTATAAACTGTACAACTCAGTTGAAACAACAAACTGAAATCTTTTAGGTGGAGGGAAGTAAAAAATAAAAAACTAAAATAATATGGTTGCATAAGTCAGTGGCAGGAATAGTGCCTAAGGGCCAGATAAAGGTAAGCAAAGGGCCACAGTTTGGAGACCACTGGTATACAAGTCTTTTCGTTGGTCCTTTAAATTGACTGATACCTTTAAACTACAGCTTTTACTGCACAGTAATTGAATTGTGGGATATCTCTGTACAGGTATGAGTGCTTATGCTTCTTTTTAATTTTTAGTTGATGACAGTCTGGGTTTTCTTCCCACCTTTGGACCCTGCTATGTGAACCTGTACGGCAGCCCCCGAGAGTTTACTGGCTTCCCGGATCCCTATGAAGAGCTCAATATGGGCAAGGTACGGTTTATAGTAGGTTTTTAGCAAACATGGGAGCATGCAGACTCCATGTAAATAATGTCCTAGTGGAAATCAAACATATGATACATTTGTTGTCAGTTCCCGGACTGGGCCGAGTTGTAGGCAGAAAAGGTATCTGTCTTGGTGTTAAAACAGGAGGGGAAGCAAAAATAGCTGTAACTGCCACCTATGCTGCTGAAGTAGCTCACAGTTCTTGGGTGGGCGCACTTTGGCCTTTTCACCTTGGGTTCTAAAAGACCTTGCCCTGGAGGTGCTCAGTGCTGGTATGTTGATGATGGTAGTTTGTGGTCTATGAAATGATGTGCATTATGTTGTTGGCTATTATTTATGCACTTTTGTCTGAACAATGATGACTCCGTCCTTCAGGAGAGAAAATCAGATGATGGCATTGTCACTGTGAGAGGTAATAGATATCTGGAAGTGTTACCCTGACACATTAGTTAGCATACATACCATTAGGATTTAAAAAATATATACTGTATGACGGCAGGTTCACTTTAACCAATTCCATACCGGGCAATTTCACCCCTTCCTGCCCAGGCCATTTTTCAGGTTTCAGCGCTCTCACACTTCGAATGACAATTGCGCGGTCATACATACAACACTGTACCCAAACTAAAATTTTAGCATTTTCTTCACACAACTAGAGCTTTCTTTTGGTGGTATTTAATCAACGCTGGGGTTTTTATTTTTTGCTAAATTAACAAAAAAAAGGCCAAAAATTTTGAAAAAAAAAACACGTTTTTCTTTGTTTCTGTTATAAAAGTTTACAAATAAATAATTGTTCTTCATAAATTTAGGCCGAGATGTATTCTGCTACATGTCTTTGGTGAAAATAACCCAAATTAGGATGTATTATTTAGTTTGTAGGAAAGTTATAGAGTTCACAAACTATGGGATAGATCTGAATATTGATCAATCCTGAAGTACTGACGGCCAATCTAATTTCTTGAGGTCCAAGAATGTCAGAACAGTACAGATATCCCCCAAATGTCAGAACAGTACAGATATCCCCCAAATGTCAGGACAGTACAGATATCCCCCAAATGTCAGAACAGTACAGATATCCCCCCAAATGTCAGAACAGTACAGATATCCCCCCCAAATGTCAGAACAGCACAGATATCCCACCAAATGTCAGGACAGTACAGATATCCCCCAAATGTCAGAACAGTACAGATATCCCCCAAATGTCAGAACAGTACAGATATCCCCCAAATGTCAGGACAGTACAGATATCCCCCAAATGTCCCCTTTTTGCAGAGTAGACAGTCCGACGTACTTCATAAGAGGAATGGCGAGTTTTTTAAGTTGTATTTTTTTTTTGTCATAATTTTTTTCGGAAAATTAAAAAATTAAACAAATTATTTTCACTATTTTGTTTTTACATACTGTCATCAGTGCAGTACAGCATCATCATATAACTGGCACTGACTGGTGACAGTATGAAAAAAAAAAAATATATATATATATATATATATATATATTTTTTTTTTTTTTATTATTATTTTTTATTACATTTTTTTTAAGATTTTTTTTTTCATATTTTACTATGACCAAAGTAGTACAATGTTACCATAGTAACATTGTACTACTTTGGGGAAGTGATCAGTATTTTTTTTTTTTTTTACACGATTTGCTTATAGCAAAGAATTACTTTGCTATAAGCAAGCATTTACCTGAATGACCGATTCATTGAGGTTTTTTTTTTTGTTTTTTTTGTGCTTAGCTGTGATTTGGCCACAGCTAATCACATGACATGTGCATGTGACCTGCTGTGACCATTCACAGCTAGACACTGGTATACAATGGATGGCATGAATGAAGCCATCCATTGTATACAACTGTCATGTGACCTGCTGTGATTGGTAACAGCAGGTCACATGGTACAGGCAACAGGGGCCGGTACTCAGATCTGTCATCGGCCGTGTCCGAGGTACACGGCCGGTGACAGATCACGCCGCTGCGCGGCTCTGCAACCGCGTGAACTGCGCATGTGCGGGAGGACGCCAAATGGCGTACAACCCAGAAAGCGAATGCATTTTTTCAGCCGCCAAACGGCTGTAGGCCGGGCGGCAAATGGTTAAATATGGCCCCTGAATTTAAACACAGTTCAACCAAGGATACTAGGTCATCTTCCAAACTATAACCTGCCACCAGGAGTTGTTATTGATGACTGTGATGCTTTAGGGTGCCTTTTCCACTCACTTCTTGCCTTTTCACCTCTAGAGGAAGTGAGGGGAGATCTTAACAATTTATCTTGATAAACATTTTAGTGGAGTGGAGAGAAGTTATAAACTGTGTTAAGTTGGCAATATACTGCTCGACTTTCAGCTGATTTTTGCTCTATTGGCTAAATTTGAGCTTTGGGTGGCCCTGTTGGCACCAACAAAAGTCAGGTTTTCAGTAGACATTTGTTAAAGGAGCCAGATGTGACCTTATCACATTGGGCTGAATGAGCAAGGTAATGTCTTTTACCAAAGTCTGGTGTTGCATTAAGATTCCTCTTCCTTTAAAGAAGTTTTCTTTTATAAGACTAGAGCTGATTTCTGCTAAGAAACTACCGTATATACTCGAGTATAAGCCGACCCGAATATAAGCCGAGGTACCTAATTTTACCACAAAAAACTGGGAAAAACTATTGACTCGAGTATAAGCCGAGGGGGGAGGAATAGTGCCCCATCGTTGGTGTCAGTGGGGGGAGGAATAGTGCCCCATCGTTGGTGTCAGTGGGGGGAGGAATAGTGCCCCATCATTGGTATCAGTGTGGGAGGAATAGTGCCCCATCGTTGGTGTTAGTGGGGGGGGGGGGGAATACTGCCCCATCGTTGGTGTCAGTGGGGGGAGGAATAGTGCCCCATCGTTGGTATCAGTGGGGGGAGGAATAGTGCCCTATCATTGGTATCAGTGTGGGAGGAATACTGCCCCATCGTTGGTGTCAGTGGGGGGAGGAATAGTGCCCCATCGTTGGTGTCAGTGGGGGGAGGAATACTGCCCCATCGTTGGTGTCAGTGGGGGGAGGAATAGTGCCCCATCGTTGGTGACCCCTGCTCCAGCCTGGGCTCGCTCGCTCCCTCCCTCTCCCATGGTACACACTTACCAGTCAGATGTCTTCCTTCTCCGGCCGCTCTCCTCCTCTTCACTCGCTCGATCTTCGCGGTGCCGCTCGGCTCCTCCTCTCCAAGCTCCACCTCCTCGTCAGTGATTGGCCGCCGGAACTGTAGCTCAGAAGAGGCACACAGGCGCCCAATCACCGGCGAGGAGGTGGAGCTTGGAGAGGAGGAGCCGAGCGGCACCGCAAAGATTGAGCGAGTGAAGAGGAGAGCGGCCGGAGAAGGAAGACATCTGACCGGTAAGTGTGTACCATGGGAGAGGGAGGGAGCGGCGAGGATTGATCCCGGGGGTGTGTCCAGATGACAGGGACGGCATGTCATCTGCAGACGTTGACCCGAGTATAAGCCGAGGGGACCGTTTTTCAGCACAAAAAATGTGCTGAAAAACTCGGCTTATACTCGAGTATATACGGTATTACAGAAAGGTTCCACAGACTGGATGTCATAGGTTTGGGTGTTTACCTTGTACCAAGTCTAGACACATCCATTCTTCAGGACAGTTGTCACCACACATCAGTCCCATTTTACCTTGTTACCTTGCTGGTGTTTTCCTTCTGAAATGTTGTTTATTTGGTTTGAAAGGGAGAAGGTGTAGCGTACCGTGGACGCATCCTGCTGGAACTGGAAAGCAAGCTGGTAGAGCACACGGAGCAGAAAGTGGAGGACATTTCTTCTGATGATCTTCTACGGGTTGAGGTAATGCGAGCAGAAGAATGAAGACCATTTGTTATTTCCAAATTTTCCTGCTATATAGTTGTGCATGTTATTTGTCTTTTAACTGAAAACGTTGGAAGGCCTGAAACACCCTATAATCAGGAAGACATAAGTGGATCCTAATCCTAAACTCAGGAATTCTAGATTAAGAGGTGTGGTAAGGAATTACAGTCTAGGTGAAATTGTCCTATGGGGTTCTTCTATGCAGTCTATCAATCTCTGCAGGGAGCCTTCTTAATAGTGAGGGTGGCGGTTGTGTGTATGAGTCTTACTGTGACATTCTAATGGTAGAATGAAAAGCTACATAAATATATAAAATGCATAAAATAGCACTATAATGTTCTTATTTTTATTTAGCACCATTGTTATAAAGTAGGTCTCCCATCAGAAATACATCTTTTGATCTAGTTATGTGTTTATTAAAGCAGAACTGAAGTCCCACTGTAAAAAACTGTGAGCACGGAGGTTTTTTTGCAGAAGAGACATGCTCTGTCTCTTCTGCAATAAAATGCCCCTGCCTGCTTGCCTTCTCCGTGCACATGCACAGCTCAGCTTACATTGCCGGGCTGGTCTCCAAGTGCCGCAAGAGTGACGTCATCCCCCGCCGGCCAATGAAGAGGCCTGAAGACCGACACTCAGAAGAAGATACGGGCGCGGGTGCAGGACCATTTGACAGGTGAGTATTGAGACTTTAGTTCTGCTTTAAAGCCCAACTGAACCTTCAGGTTAAAGTACTAAACACATTCATGGCGCATTCCCACCCTCCCCATACCACCATCATACCCCATCTTTTTTCTAGCTGCTTATTCTTCTTGCTGATATAAATGTTATTCTGAAGAGAATAAGCAGAAAGATCTCAACAGATAGTAAGGCCTCGTTCACACCATATGTGCAAAAAAAACTGATGGGGAAAATAATGCAAATTTCACTTGCAGAGACACGAGTTTTCATCAATTTGCATATGCATTCTAGTGAGTTTTTATACATGTTGACATCATTATTATTATACAATATTTATATAGTGCCAACAGTTTGCTCAGCGCTGTACATTATAATGGGAGACAATACAAGAGAAAGTACAGTAACAATACAATACAATACACAAGGGGTTAGAGGGCCCTGCTCCTTGGAGCTTACAATCTAGGAGGGAGGGGATAGTGGTACAGGAGGAAATAGCTGTGGGGGGATGGAGTGGTAGGAAGAGTGGAGGAGATCGGCAATTAGGTGAGGGTGGGGTAGGCTTCCCTGAAGAGATGGATTTTCAGGGTGTGCCTAAAGGTGAGGAGAGTAGGTGATAATCTGATGGATTGGGGTAGTGAGTTCCAGAGAATGGGGGAAGCCCTAGAGAAGTGCTGGAGATGGGCATGGGAGGAGGAGACCAGGGAACTAGAGAGTAGGAGGTCTTGTGAGGAGCGGAGAGTGTGGCAGGCGCAGCACCCTTTGGTGCCTAGTGTGCTGTGGCATTAGAAAAATTATGCAATTGCTGTTTCTTTGATTAGACTGACTTTACTCTGTAATTCCTCCAATGCCGCTCTATGGATGCAGTAGGTTTAAAGAGCACACCGAATACTTTAGTTAACTTCTTTAATAACTTCAATCTTCTTCATATAACACTGCTTACAATGGCTTGTTTCATTTATCATACAGTAGCTTATTTCTTTCATATTACAGTGATTTAATTCGGTGGATTATATCGATAATTTATTTTGTTCTGTATATTTCAATAGATTCGATAGTTTCGTTAGCTTATGTTGTTAGATTAATTTGATAAATTCGGTGGAACTACAAGTAAAACACACACAACAGTTTTACATACAGATCTACCTGCACTGTTAAACAATAGAGGAACACACAAGTGCATTAAATACCTATTTGGCCTTTTCTGCTTCCATAAAGCTTCTCTGATTGGAACTTTGTCTGTTTCCTCTTCTGTCTGGTGAGCATGTGTCTGTAGAATATTCTAGCAGGGAGTTTTACACAGGCATAAATGTGAAACTGGGTGGGATTGGTTAAGGCTCTGTACAGTGTGAAGCTGTCTGTGATTTGCTCACCTATATACTAACTCTTAAAGGCATATTTTCCTTTTCTGCTTCTGCTAACACAATGAATATATAAATGTCATATAACAATCAAAGACATAAATTACAGCAATGATTCTGCTTTTGGCTTTAACATATACACATATACACTGTACTGAGGTTATTGGCAGGTTTGGTATACGCATATGTGAACCATATTAGCAACCTAGGACCGGTCTTAGCTGGCCAGCTACAGAGAGTACGTTTTGGGTGGTAAATGGATATCAGGTCGGTGATGTAGTTTGGGGCAGTGTTATGGACAGCTTTGTACATCAATGTTAGTAATTTGAATTTAATGCGTTGGGCAATCGGAAGCCAGTGGAAAGATTGGCAGAGGGGGGTGGCGGATACGGAGCGGTTGGTAAGGTGAATGAGTCAGGCCGCATAATTCATGATAAACTGAAGCGGGGATAGCCTGTGTTGGGGTAGGCCAGTGAGGAGGGAGTTGCAGTAGTCAAGTCGTGATATAATAAGGGAGTGAATGAACATCAGGTTTTTTTCATGCACTTTTTTTTTTTACACACCGCTGCACACCATATCCTGTGATTCATTTTCTTTTGTTGTTTGTGGAGAGAGAAGAGGACAATTTAGAAAGTTTATTGTTAGCGCCATTGCAGAGCCTTGCCTTACATTATAGACCTCATCAGAGCCTCCCTTTATATCATAGTCCCACTCAGAGTCTCCTGTGTAATATAGTCCCCATCAGAACCTCCCTTTATATCATAAGCTTTATCAGAGCCTCCCTTTATATAGTCTTACTCATAGTCTCCTGTGTAATATAGTCCCCATTAGAGCCTCCCTTTATATCATAGTCCCAATCAGAGTCCTCTGTGTAATATAGTCCCCATCAGAGCCCCCCTCTACATCATAGTTTCTATCAAAGTCCCCCCCCATCAAAGCCCCCCCATCAGAGCCTCCCTTTATATCTTAGTTCCAATCAGAGTCCTCGGTGTAATATAGTTCCCATCAGAGTTCCCCTTTACATCATAGTTCCTATCAGAGCCCCCCCCCCCCCCCATCAAAGCTTCTCATCAGAGCCTGTTAAGGACCTGCCGGCGGTAGCCTCTAGCGTTCCACAGACCGGAATTTCCCAAGGCGCGGAATCTAAGTCCCGACCTGCTTGTTCACCAGGGCCCCTGATGGTGGGGATGGACTTGGAGCAGGCCGAAACCAGGTTGCGACCCCTGGGTGCACCCAGCTGTGGTAGAAGCACTTGCCGGAGGTGTATAGCAGGTGAGAGTCTGATGTAAGGAGGTAGAAGGAGCAGAGTCGGGCAGGCCAGGTTGGTAGCGGTGGAGGCAGTGCGGTACAAAACAGTAGACAGAAGGATAAACGTGTCACAAGCCGGGTTCGGTAAAAGGAGATCAAAACGTGCAGGATCAGACAGGAGAATGGTCAGGCAAGCCAGGGATCAGAGCAGGAGACAGTCAGCAAATCAAGGTCAGGCAGGGTCGGCAACAAAGCAATCTAATTCAGGAACATAGGATACAGATAAGACCATACGGCAATTAGAACACAGACCTGACCTGTTTAGATAGGGCACCTTGATTGGTGCCAGGCACGCGTCCGTGATCGCCCATGCGCGATTGCCATTGCAGGTGCCCAGGTCCCAATGCTCGCACGCTGGTGCGGCCGGGCATACCGTGCATGCGCAGACCCGTGCGCGATCGCGGAAAGAACCGGGGTCCCTGACAGAGCCTCCCCACCAGAGTTCCCTCATCATAGTCCCCCTAATCAAAGTCCTTCTCATCAGTGTCCCCCCGTCATCAGAGGACCATCACCAATGTCCCCTTCATTGCTTCCCACTCATCAGTGTCCCCCTCATTACCTCATTAGAGCGCTGTCATCATATTCCCCTCATCACAGCCTCCCTCATTCTCCATCAGAGCTCTTCTATCATCTGCCCTTACCAATCGGCAATTGATTTCTATGTGTCTTGCAGAAACCTGCGTTTTCCTAGTGCAGGTCTCTGCAGATGGTGTGAATGAGCCCCAAAGAATGCAGGAAAACTGAGTGCAAATGCAATCCTTTAAGGTTTCTGACTCTTATGTTCTGGTTTTGCAGAAGTATCTGCGTAGACGGAAGTACTGCCTCTTTGCTGCCTTCTACTCGGCCACCATGCTGCAGGACGTGGACGACGCCATCCAGTTTGAAGTCAGCATTGGGAACTACGGCAATAAATATGACACCACCTGCTTGCCTTTGGCCTCCACCACTCAGTACAGCCGAGCCGTGTTTGATGGTAAGAGCCATTGCTGGGTTACGTGTTTTTTTGGGTATCTGCTGCAAAGTTTCTTACTTAGGGATCCTTCCAGTAACATCACTTCCTGTTAGAAGATAACAATGCTAAGGTGCTACCTGGCAATTAACAGCTCTGTTGTCTGGTTGCATGCAAGCTCCATCAGTTGGCTGTTGGGCTGCCAATTTGAAAGACTTGATGGGCAGCCCAAAGAGCACAAACAGCAGGCTGATAATGCTGTTGTTAATGGCGAGCAACAGCTTACTGTGTTGTCATCTTCTAACAGGAAGTTCTGTTAGTAGAAAGATCTCCACATAAGAAACTTTGCAAGGTATTCACAAAAATTATTTTCTTAAAGTGTTACTAAACCCAAGATCCTGCATTCACTATATCTGGTCTCCCCGGACCCGGCATTGACTATATCTGGTCTCCCCGGACCCGGCATTCACTATATCTGGTCTCCCTGTACCCTGCATTCACTATGACTGGTCTCCCAGGACCCTGCATTCACTATATCTGGTCCCCCCGGACCCTGCATTCACTATATCTGGTCTCCCCGGACCCTGCATTCACTATATCTGGTCTCCCCGGACCCTGCATTCACTATATCTGGTCTCCCCGGACCCGGCATTCACTATATCTGGTCTCCCCGGACCCTGCATTCACTATATCTGGTCTCCCCGGACCCTGCATTCACTATATCTGGTCTCCCCGGACCCAGCATTCACTATATCTGGTCTCCCTGAACCCTGCATTCACTATGACTGGTCTCCCAGGACCCTGCATTCACTATATCTGGTCCCCCCGGACCCTGCATTCACTATATCTGGTCTCCCCGGACCCTGCATTCACTATATCTGGTCTCCCTGGACACTGCATTCTTTATATCTGGTCTCCCAGGACCCTGTATTCACTATATCTGGTCTCCCCGGACCCCGCATTCACTATATCCGATCTCCCCGGACCCTGCATTCACTATATCTGGTCTCCCCAGACCCTGCAATCACTATATCCGGTCTCCCCGGACCCTGCATTCACTATATCTGGTCTCCCCAGACCCTGCATTCACTATATCTGGTCTCCCCGGTCCCTGCATTCACTATATCTGGGCTCCCCAGACCCTGCATTCACTATATCCGCTCTCCCCGGACCCTGCATTCACTATATCTTGTCTCCCACAGTACACAGAACATGTAAATGCAATTATTTTAGTAAATATAAACGAAAACCTTTTCTCATCAGCAGTATAAAGCAGTCTTGTGACTTCTATCAGTGTCGAGCAAAGCACTGGTTAAAGCTTGTAGGAGGAGTTTTCATTCTCCCCTATGAGGCTGCAGGACCCCTGACATATGTCTGGGTAACGCTGATTGGCCCTGTGCTGATCACATGTACTTTCCCAAGAAAAAAAAACCTTGCTAGCTATACACACCAAACTGACCATGTGAAGCTTGTCCCAAACCTCTGTTCTATCAAGAGATAGATTGGGGACAGTGGAAGAAGAGGAGGATAAAGGGGAAGACAGGATCAAACATCCTTTTACTTTTGTAGGTTTAGTAACACTAGTAATGAAGATCTATCATTATCATTCTAGTTTAACAGTTTTGTCCCCTAGGGGGGCAAAATACATGTAGTACACTGCTCAAAAAAATTAAAAGAACACCTTTTTAATCAGAGTATAGCATCAAGTCAGTGAAACTCCTGGGATATTATTCTGGTCAGTTAAATAGTAGAGGGAGTTGTTAATCAGTTTTAGCTGCTTTGGTGTTAATGAAGTGAACAACAGGTGCACTAGATGGGCAACAATGAGATGACCCCCAAAACAGGAATGGTTTTACAGGCGGAGGCCACTGGCATTTTTCCCCTACTCCTCTTTTCTGACTGTTTTTCATTAGTTTTGCATTCGGCTAGGGTCAGTGTCACTGCTGGTAGCATGAGGCGATACCTGGACCCTACAGAGGTTGCACAGGCAGTCCAACTCCTCCAGGATGGCACTTCAATATGTGTCATTGCCAGAAGGTTTGCTGTGTCTCCCAGCACAGTCTCAAGAGCATGGAGGAGATTCCAGGAGACAGGCAGTTACTCTAGGAGAGCTGGACAGGGCCATAGAAGGTCCTTAACCCATCAGCAGGACTGTTATCTGTTCCTTTGTGCAAGGAGGAACAGGATGAGCGCTGCCAGAGCCCTACAAAATGACCTCCAGCAGGTCACTGGTGTGAATGTCTCTGACCAAACAATCAGAAACAGACTTCATGAGACTGGCCTGAGGGTCAGACCCCCTCTAGTGGGCCCTGTGCTCACTGCCCGGCACCATAGAGCTGGATTGGCATTTGCCATTGAACACCAGAATTGGCAGGTCCACCACTGGCACCCTGTGCTTTTCACAGATGAGAGCATATTCACCCTGAGCACATGTGACAGACCTGAAACATGACCATTTTGGTGGTGGGTCAGTGATGGTCTGGGGAGGCATATCCATGGAGGGACGCACAGACCTCTACAGGCTAGACAATGGCACCCTGACAGCCATTAGGTATCGGAATGAAATCCTTGGACCCATTGTCAGACCCTACACTGGTGCAGTGGGTCCTGGGTTCCTCCTGGTGCATGACAATGCCCGGCCTCATGTGGCGAGAGTATGCCGGCAGTTCCTGGAGGATGAAGGAATTGATACCATTGAATGGCCCCCACACTCGTCTGACCTACTGTAAATCCAATAGAACATCTCTGGGATATCATATTTCGGTTCATCCGATGCTGCCAGGTTGCACTTCAGACTGTCTAGGAGCTCAGTGATGCCCTGGTCCAGATCTGGGAGGAAATACCCCAGGACACCATCATTAGGAGCCTCCCCCGACATTGTCAGGCATGCATACAAGCACGTGGGGGCCATACAAACTACTGAGGACCATTCTGAGTTGCTGCAATGACATTTCAGCAAAATGGACTCGCCTGCTGCATCATTTTTCACTTGATTTTTGGGGTGTCTTTGAATTCAGTCCTCTGTAGGTTGATAATTTTCATTTCCATCAAACCATAGGGCATCCTTACGTTCCTCACACGTTACCCCATCCATATCAGTATAGATATCCAGCATGCGATTTTTCCCCATTGAGATCTGATGTGTTTTCAAAGTGTTCCTTTGAAAACACATCAGATACAAAAAAAAAAAACATTTTATATATATATATATATATATTTATATATATATATATATCTCAATTTATTTTTAGGGTAGAGAAGTGTAAGCACACATACATACATACATACAGTTGCAAGAAAAAGTATGTGAACCCCTTGGGATTACATGGAGATTTGCATGAATTGGGCATAAAATGTGCTCTGAACGTCATCTAAGTCACAACAATAGAAGAACACAGTCTGCTGAACATAATACTACACAAACATTACATGTTGCCATGGTTTAATTGCACATAACATGTAAACATTCACAGTGCAGGGAGGAAAAAGTATGTGAACCTTTGTACTTAGTACCTGGTTGACCCTCCTTTGGCAGCAATAACCTCAACCAAACGTTTCCTGTAGTTGCAGATCAGACCTGCACAACGATCTGGAGTCATTTTGAACCACTCCTCTTCACAAAACTGTTTCAGTGTAGCAATATTCTTGGGATGTCTGGTGTGAATCGCTCTCTTAAGGTCATGCCACAGCATTTCAATCTGGTTGAGGTCAGGACTCTGACTGGGCCACTCCAGAAGGCGTATTCTGTGCTGTTGCAGCCATTGTTTTGTTGAATTACTTGTATGCTTTGGGTCATTGTCCTGTTGCATCGCCCATCCTCTGCGGAGCTTCAGTTGGCGGACAGATGGTCGTACGTTTTCCTGCAAAATGTCTTGATAAACTCTGGAATTCATTTTCCCATCAATGACAACAATCCGTCCAGGCCCTGAGGCAGCAAAGCAGCCCCAAACCATGATGCTCCCTCCGCCATGTTTCACAGTGGAGATGAGGTTTTGATGTTGGTGTGCTGTGCCTTTTTTTCTCCACACAGTTGTTAGTGTTGTGTGTTCTTCCCAAACAACTCAATCTTGGTTTCATCTGTCCACAGTATATTTTGCCAGTAGTGCTGTGGAACATCCAGGTGCTCTTTTGCAAACTTCAAACGTGCTGCAATATTCTTTTTGGACAGCAATGGCTTCCTCCGTGGTGTCCTCCCATGTACTCCATTCTTGTTTAATGTTTTCCTTATTGTAGATGTGTCAGCAAAAATGTTAGCATGTGCCAGAGATTTCTGTAGGTGTTTAGCTGACACTCTGGGATTCTTCTTTACCTCATGCAGCATTCTGCGCTGTGCTCTTGCAGTCATTTTTACAGGACGACCACACCTAGGGAGAGTAGCAACAGTGCTAAACTTTCTCCATTTGTAGACAGTCTGTCTTACTGTGGACACATGAACATCAAGGCTTTTGGAGATACTTTTGTAACCCTTTCCAGCTTCATGCAAGTCAACAATTCTTGATGGTAGGTCTTCTGAGAGCTCTTTTCTGCGAGGCATGGTTCACATCAGACAGTGCTTCTTGAAACCAGTAAACCCAAAACAGGTGTGTGTTTTTTAAGGGTAGGACAGCTGTCAGCAACACATCCAATATCATCACACTGATTGGAGTCAAGGTTGGCTCACTCCTGGCTCCAATTAGCTCTGGGAGAAGTCATTAAGCTAGGGCCTCACATACTTTTTCCTCCCTGCACTGTGAATGTTTACATGTTATGTGCAATTAAACCATGGCAACATGTAATGTTTGTGTAGTATTATGTTCAGCAGACTGTGTTCTTCTATTGTTGTGACTTAGATGACGTTCAGAGCACATTTTATGCCTAATTCATGCAAAACTCCACGTAATCCCAAGGGGTTCACATACTTTTTCTTGCAACTGTACATGCCTAGGCCATCCTTTCTTTCCAATAAATTTTTATTGGTTTTTCGATGTTTTAAGTACAGAATATAAATTGAACCGTGTTCAATGACATTTTGTCCCATATTTAAGAGCTTTTCTAACCCTGGTTATGAGAACTGATCTGCCCCTCTCCTCTCTAGCTGTGGCTGATGTATAGACGAAACTTGTCTCGACTGTCAACACTTAGGGAGACAAACAACAGCAAGCGGAATGTAGAGTTAGGGGGCTCTGCATTCATCTTGCTATTACTGGCAGAACCACAAGGTGATAAAGGACAAAAAAACCTCAAAAAATTTGAACCAAAGCAGCCACCACATCTAAGGACTGGTAAGCTGCTACATATTACATTTTTGTTTTTGGATTTAGATACACTTTAAAGCTGAACTACGGGATAAGCAAATTTTATCCAAGCACAAGAGTCATGTGTATTGTTACTCGAATCTTGGTGTGCTTTAAGTGTTTTTTCCAGATCTATGCACTAATCTATTGTGACACTATGGCTTTGTGCAGGAGCTTCCTATAATACAGACCAGTCACTGCTGCTCTATCACTTGTGCAGGGTGACTGGTCCTGTCTCCGCCCCCTCCTGTAGTTTTCTACAGGTAACCTGTAATGGGTGGAGCCGCTGGCTTCTTCTCACAGCTCTGCACTTGTTATGTACAGCAGGTGATGATGTCACTGCTACTTTTACAAGGTAGTATTTTGGTGCGCAAAGACATTTGGTGCACTCAAAGTGGATTTATATCCTTTGTGACTGTTGATAAATAGATTTGAATTACATTTTTTTGCCTGAAGTTAAACTTTAATAATGTTGCAAGCTAATCCTAAAGCGGTAATCCACTGTTGCCTCTATGCCTTAATGTATTGCACTAAAATGATGGACTCTAAAAGTGGAATTCTTAGAAGCATAGCGTGGTGAGGAGCTAGAACCTCAGCCAAGCTTTATTTCTCTCTGTGTCCGTTTTTGTGGGAGAATGGGCAGAGTTCTTTTTATCCCTCTACTTATTAGTCTGACTGAAATCCTCTTTACCAGTGGTTTTCATCCTTATTGAGAAATCTTTTAAAATCTTCCATGCCCTAACAGTAAAAAAAAAAGTTTATATTCACACAATAAAGGTATGGAAATACAAAATAATTCTTGAAATTCTGGATAGGGCTGGGTGCCACTTTGGCGGATGGAGGTTCTGAAGGGGGTTAGTGGACTTGGTGGCCCTGTATGGGATGAGGTTTCTGGAGTTGGAGGCAACTGAGGAGGAGGGGATCTCTGGAGGGGGATGGGGGTCTGTCTAGGAGAATTGAGGTTTTGCGGCAGCAATGTGGGAGGCCAGAGGGCATTTTGGGGATGAGGGGACATTCTGGGACATTGTTGGGGGCACTGTGGGGGGGCGTGGCTGGAGGCTCTTCAGCAAGGTAGGGAGCACTGTTTGTATCTGGGGAAAAATGTGGGAGGTGGGTGGGCACAGTAGGACTGCGGGCTCTTAGGAGGCCTAGGCTCACTGTGAAAGGTTGAGGGGCACTGCTGGCCACTGTGGAAGGTTGGGTGGCTTCATAGGAGCTAGAGGCACTGGGAGGTTAGGAGATCTGCAGCTAGCTGGAGGCCTTGTATAAAGGAGTCTCCTGCCCAGTGGTTGAGAACCAGTGCTCCATACAATTCTCTCCACTTATTTTGCAGAAATGAATGCATTGTTAACTGGAATTGTTTGCTTTATACTTTAGGCTGTCAGTACTATTACTTGCCCTGGGGTAACGTGAAGCCTGTCGTTGTTTTGTCATCATACTGGGAGGACATCAATCACCGCACTGACAGCCAGAATATCATCGACCATACCATTGACAACCTGGTGAGTTTATGGGCAAGAGCTAGCCGTAAAGCTGTGACTTTACCCTCCCTGGCGGTATGATTATTTCAGATTTTTGGTGCTGAAAGCGGTACCATTATTTTGCATGGAAATTTGGCGTTTTTATATTGTAGGCCTGTAATTCTTAGGAATAACTCACTGAAATCTGTCTGAACTCTGTCTAGTAAACATCCCGGGTATGATAAAACTTGAAACACGAAATCATAAATTATAATTTAATAAATAATCATAAAAATAATAATATAATAATAATACATTTAATTCAATAATATAATCAAACCAAAAACACTGAAATTTGAAATAGAGCGCCAAGTTCACACATCACTGAGCAAAGTCGCAAAATCAATTTCAGTGTCTGATGACGAATTTCCCCCACGAATCATTATCACTCAATTCTGCAAGTGGTTCTGATTTACTATCGCTGTTCTCTAGCCGGTCTAAAACCACTTTTGACCTAAAGGGACGCTTTTTGGACGCCATGGATGTTTCTCAGTTTCCAGGCAGAAAGAACAGTAAAAATGCAGGCAGGGTGCCAGACAAAGCACTCGGGACAAAATGTATGTGAAATGGTTTGATACAGGAATGTTATACTATGAGATTTTAGTGATTTTAGTGAATGTCACTTTTTGTCATTTTCAAATTTGCCGCCGTTCCGTCCCCTGTACGTCCCGACGCTCGCAGGGGACAGAACCCAGATAACAGATGCTGGCATCCGCCAAAATACATTGCAGGGGACACTGCAGGAGGGACATCGCGGGAACGCAGGAAATGGTAAGTGATCGGGGGATCCCGGAGCAACGCCGCATGGTAAGCCTGAGTGTAGCTCGGGGTTACCGCTTGTGGTACTGAAAATTTACCCTGAGCTATACTCGGGAATACCGCAAGGAAGGCTACGGGAGCAGGCAGGACAACCTCTTCTGAATTTCTTGTTTATGTGATGAATAGTCTGTAGTTACCACAATGCATTTGCTTCTCCAAAGCTGAACTATAGATAATAAAACATATAACCACCTCTGCCACAATCCCATACCATACTCACAAACAGCAGGGTGCTTGATAATTGCTTCTTTAAACAGATACCCTTGTGCCTGCTGAATGTGACCTTCCAGAATGAGTGTTGTGCTGGCAGAAAAATGGGCAGAATGAGACACTCTGGTTAGCAGGCTGGGTAAACAAGGTCCTCCCTAATGTTGGGTAGTCTCGATGAAGGTCTGCAGGACCATCTCAAAACTATCTCTCCTTCTCTGGAACCTGATCCTAAGCCAAGCCTACTTTTACCTGATTGTCAGGTGTCTTTCCCAATCTTTACACTTCCCACACTGAGGGCGCTCCAAAATCATCCAGCAGGGGCTATATTTAGCCTTCCTGAATCCCTGTCAGTCAGATACAGGCTCTCCCAAGATGGCTGCTGGAAGCACAGTTCAGAGGACAAGACAGTCCTCTGCAATGATTCCCTTAGCGGCAATGGTAAGCAGCGATCATCTGATTGCTGTATTTACTTTCAGTAATTTCGCCGTGGATTTGGCACTTCCAGCCTATACTGACTGTTTTTTTTATTCTATTAGATTTTTGAAAACAGTTTTTCATTGCAAGTAAAACAAACTTTCCCTAAACCCTTTATGCGTCATTCACACTGGGCATTTAACTACTGCATTTAGGTGAGTAGGGAGGGCACAGGTTCACTGTCTAGCCCACTGCCGACAGCCTATAAAACTCTATGAGAAGCTGAAAGCTGCTGTGACTGGGATGGACAGTTCACCGAGTGCTACTAATGTTTAACCACTTGAGCTCCAGAGGATTTACCCCCCTTAATGACCAGGCCTCTTTTTGCTACTCGGCGCTGCACTAATTCAACTGATAATTGCGCGGTCATGCAATGCTGCACCCAAACAAAATTTACGTCCTTTTTTTCACACAAATAGAGCTTTCTTTCGGTGTAATTTGATCACCTGTGCACTTTTTATTTTTCACGCTATAAACAAAAAAAATATTTTGAAGAAAAACAATATTTTTTACTTTCAGCTATAAAAAATATATAGTAAACTCAAAGTTGGTTATAAATTTAGGCCAAAATGTATTCTGCTCCATGTTTTTGGTAAAAAAAAAATCCCAATAAGTGTATATTGATTGCTTTCTGTGATAGTTATAGCGTCTACAAACTATGGTATAGATACTGCAATTTACGCCATTTTTTTGCTATACAGCGCTGCGCTAGTTTAACGGACAAATGCGCGGTCATGCAATACGGTACATAAATGAAATTTACATCCTTTTTTTTCCCACAAATTGAGCTTTCTTTTGGTGGTATTTGATCGCCTGTGCAGTTTTTATTTTTTATAAAAAAAAAAGGCTGACAATTTTGAGGGAAAAAAACAATATTTTGGACTTTTTGCTATAAAACATGTCCAGTAAAAAAAAATTTAAAAATCAAATTTAGTCATAAATTTCTGCCAAAATGCATTCTGCGACATGTCTTTGCTACAAAAAAAAAACACAATACGTGTAAATTAATTGGTTTACGTGAAAGTTATAGCGTTTACAAATGGCGGGAAAGATACTGGGATTTTTAGTTTTTTTTATACTAATAATGGCGGCGATCAGCGACTTATGGTGGCGATCAGTGACTTATGGCGGCGATCAGCGACTTATGGCGGGACTGCCGCAGACATTCTGACATTGGGGGGTACTGATTTGGGGTCACTGACATCCCCAGTGACACCAATACAGTGATCAGTGCAAAAAAAAAAACCACTGACACTGTAATAATGGCACTGGGGAGGAAGGGGTTAAGTTTATTATTCAGTGAAAGGGTTAACTGTGTGAGGGGGAGTGTTTTACTAGGGGGCGGGGGTGTGTGCTGCAGGGAACACCGCTGATTGGGAGAGAGAAACTCTTCTGTCCCGATCAGCTTGTCCTGGAGCTGTCAGGGAACTGACAGAAAGCACAGTTATTGCAGCTGTGCTCTCTGTCAGCGATTGCCGCCGATCGCCGGGATATAGCCAGTAACGACCGGCTATGACCCGGCGACTGACATCCACGGCTGTGATCGGCGGGACAGGTAGGGCGTCGGCGCGCCTCGCGCGCGCCCCCTACCTGTTTACAAAACACACGTTTTAAAACGTGCTTTTGCCCAGCCGTGCCGCCCTGCTGCCGTATTTATACAGTGGCTGGGCGGCATGTGGTTAAGGCAGTATGTGCCCAGCGACGGATGATCAGTACGCACTCAGTCCACTTTCCAAGCATTCGTCCCTCGATGCATACTGCACTGAACAAAACTCCATTTTCCTATCTGCATGCATCACTCTGCATTCAAGTGTGTTAATAATAGCAATGTAAAAAAAAATAGTGAGACACTAAAAAAATAAATCACAAAGATATTAATACTGTTTCATTTGCTGCTTCTAAAATGTTATTTGAATATTTTCGTGTCTAGGAGAGGAACCTGGAACAAGTGAACTTGTCATTGAAGGCAAAGAATTCCCCGTATGATGTGGCTTATGTGATTTCACATATGGTTGATGAAGTCATCAGTGATTGCGGGTATGTTGGGGGGGGGGGTTCCTCTGTGTTACTGCCCCAGAACTGCCAGGGCTGACATTGCAAGGTGGCAGTTTGCTTTCTGTCTCTCTTGTGTTTGACCCCTTGGTGAATACAGAGCTGGTAGTCTGGGTAGTTGTTCTACTATATATGATGGGACCACATGGCTAATGTCATTGCAGGGTCTTTGATGCTCCAGAATCCATCATAAAGGTAAATCCCACTGACAGAGGTTATGGGGAAGATTTATTGTGTCCCACAGCAAGCCTAATCCAAACCCCACCAGTCAGGCTCCAAGCCTGTATTTGGACAGTATAATGAGAAGCAGCAGACTGATGAGCTCATCTCTCTGTCCCTCTGTTCTCTCCTCTAACCAGCAAGATCCTTGTACTGCAGCACAACTGAGTATCTCCTTCCCCTTATCCAAGTCTAAGCTCTGTTGTACAGGGACTGCAAAGGGGTAGCAAAATTCAGTTGCTTACACTTATTTAAGGATATATTAATGTTTACAGAGCTGCATTCACTTGAGTCTTTTATATCTGCCTTTGAAGCTGTTCCAAATAATTGCAATAGAGGTGACAACTTTTTACTTGTCCTAACTCCTGGTCCTATCCAGTAACATGCTTTTCCATAATAGCTGTTCTTCTGTGTCTGCAGCCATCCGCTACCTGACATTACATCAATGCCCGGAACCACACACCTGGATCTGTATCTTTACCGCTTCCGGAAGACCAACCTGAGCCAGATTATCCAGACGGCTTTGAAGATGAAACACGAGGAGTATGATATTATGGAGGTCTTGGAGCAAGCTGAGGATTGGCTGCAGAGACTGAAAGCCATGGCGGATGAGGTAAAAGGAATATAGTTACATAGTTAGTCTGGCTGAAAAAAGACAACAGTCCATCCAGTTCAACCATAAAAAAGTTATAATCCTACACCCACAGTTGATCCAGAGGAAGGCAAAAAACCCAGCAAAGCATGATAAAATTTGCTCCTGCAGGGGAAAAAAATTCTTCCTGATTCCCCGAGAGGCAATCAGATATCCCCCTCCTAACACAAATCCTCCCCCATCCCAATTCCCCCCGCCTTGCACAAATCTTCCCCAAACCTGCCTCCTAACACATCCCCCCAATTACCCTTCCTAGCATAAACAGACCCCCCCACCTCCTCTCCTCCACAAGCTCCCCCTCCCCCAATCTTACATGTGGGAACAACAGCAGTAGTGAGGAGATGCGGGCTGTCTGTGATCTCCACCTCCTGTCATCACAGCGATCCTCCATACTGCAGGTTACATAGGTACACAGCTTTATTACATGCCCCCATCTCCTCCAAAGACTGCTCAACTCTTGGAAATGTGGATGGGGTGGGTAATGAAGCCGTGTACTGTCAGATGTAATCGCAATCCTATGTAACCTGCTGTATGGAGGATCGCTGTTATGACAGGAGGTGGAGATCACAAAAATCCCACATCTCCTCCCCGCTCTCTCCTCTCTGCCGCTCCTGTCTGGACTATTTACTTTAGATAATGGTGACTGGCTGTGAGTGCAGGGGAGGGGGAGCTCAGCGGGCACGGCACAATATATGGGAGGAGGGGGGCACCCGGCCTGGGGAGGCACAGCCTACCCCAGCACCCCCTAGATCTATCCATGGTATGAGTAGGCTGATTTTATGGCATTTCTAAGTATAAATTAGTTTTTTGTTTTTCTTTTTACTACAGGTACTTACATATATATAGCGCTGTCAATTTACACAGTGCCTTACATACATAGTTACATAGTTAGTCTGGCAGAAAAAAGACAAAAGTCCATCCAGTTCAACCATGAAAAAAAAAAAAAAGTTATAATCCTACACCCACAGTTGATCCAGAGGAAGGCAAAAACCCAGCAAAGCATGATCCAATTTGCTCCTGCAGGGGAAAAAATTCCTTCCTGATCCCCCGAGAGTCAATCGGAGATTCCCTGGATCAACTTTACCTCTAAATGTTATATCCAATTATATTCTGTGTATCCAAGAAAGGATCCAGGACTTTCCTACAGCAATCCACTGAGCTGGCCAGAACCAACTCTTGAGGGAGTTTATTCCACATTTTCACAGCTCCATGAAGAAACCTTTTTGTATTTGGAGATTAAATTTCTTTTCATCCAGATGTAAAGAGTGCCCCCTTGTCCTCTGTGATGACCTCAGGGGGAATAACTCTACACCGAGTTCACTATATGAACCACTGATGTATTTATACATGGAGATCATATCCCCCCTTATGTATTATACATGGAGATCATATCCCCCCTTATGTATTATACATGGAGATCATATCCCCCCCTTATGTATTATACATGGAGATCATATCCCCCCTTATGTATTATACATGGAGATCATATCCCCCCTTATGTATTATACATGGAGATCATATCCCCCTTATGTATTATACAAGGAGATCATATCCCCCCTTTTGTATTGTACATGGAGATCATATCCCCCCTTATGTATTATACATGGAGATCATATCCCCCCTTATGTACTATACAAGGAGATCATATCCCTCCTTATGTATTATACATGGAGATCATATCCCCCCTTATGTATTATACATGGAGATCATATCCCCCTTATGTATTATACATGGAGATCATATCCCCCCTTATGTATTATACATGGAGATCATATCCCCCCTTATGTATTATACATGGAGATCATATCCCCCTTATGTATTATACAAGGAGATCATATCCCCCCTTTTGTATTGTACATGGAGATCATATCCCCCCTTATGTATTATACATGGAGATCATATCCCCCCTTATGTACTATACAAGGAGATCATATCCCTCCTTATGTATTATACATGGAGATCATATCCCCCCTTATGTATTATACTTGGTGATCATATCCCCCCTTATGTATTATACATGGAGATCATATCCCCCCTTATGTATTATACATGGAGATCATATCCCCCCTTATGTATTATACATGGAGATCATATCCCCCCTTATGTATTATACATGGAGATCATACCCCCTTATGTATTATACATGGAGATCATATCCCCCCTTATGTATTATACATGGTGATCACATCCCCCCTTATGTATTATACATGGAGATCATATCCCCCCTTATGTATTATACATGGAGATCATATCCCCCCTTATGTATTATACATGGAGATCATATCCCCCCTTATGTATTATACATGGAGATCATATCCTCCCTTATGTATTATACATGGAGATCATATCCCCCCTTATGTATTATACATGGAGATCATATCCCCCTTATGTATTATACATGGAGATCATATCCCCCCTTATGTATTATACATGGTGATCATACCCCCCCTTATGTATTATACATGGAGATCATATCCCCCCTTATGTATTATACATGGTGATCATACCCCCCCTTATGTATTATACATGGAGATCATATCCCCCCTATGTATTATACATGGAGATCATATCCCCCCTTATGTATTATACATGGAGATCATATCCCCCCTTATGTATTATACATGGAGATCATATCCCCCCTTATGTATTATACATGGAGATCATATCCCCCCTTATGTATTATACATGGAGATCATATCCCCCTTATGTATTATACATGGAGATCATATCCCCCCTATGTATTATACATGGAGATCATATCCCCCCTTATGTATTATACATGGAGATCATATCCCCCTTATGTATTATACATGGAGATCATATCCCCCTTATGTATTATACATGGTGATCATATCCCCCCTTATGTATTATACATGGAGATCATATCCCCCTTATGTATTATACATGGAGATCATATCCCCCCTTATGTATTATACATGGAGATCATATCCCCCCTTATGTATTATACATGGAGATCATATTCCCCCTTAATCTCCTTTTCTCAAGAGAGAATACATTCAGTTCCTTTAATCTTTCCTCATAGCTGATCTCCTCCATGCCTCTTATCAGTTTGGTTGCCCTTCTCTGTACTTTCTCCAGTTCCCCAATGTTCTTTTTGTGAATTGGTGCCCAAAACTGAACTGCATATTCCAGATGAGGTATTACTAATGATTTGTACCGGGGGAAATGATATCTCTTTCTGGTGTCTATACCTCTTTTAATACAAGAGAGGATTTTGCTCGCTTTAGAACCCGCAGCTTGGCATTGCATGTCTTTATTAAGCTTGTGATCTACCAGAACCCCCAGATCCTTCTCCACCATTGATTCCCCCAGATCCTTCACCATTGATTCCCCCAGTTGTACCCCCCCACCCAGTATGTATGATACATGCATATTCTTAGCCCCCAAGTGCAGAACCTTACATTTATCAACATTAAACATCATTTGCCACATAGTTTTAATTTTGTCATGTTACAACCAAAAACGTAAATATATTTTATTGGGATTTGATGTGATAGACAAACACAAAGTGACACATAATTGTGAAGTGGAAGGAAAATGATAAATGGTTTTCAACAACATTTTTTACAAATAAATCTGTGAAAAGTGTGGCGGCATTTGTATTCAGCCCCCCCCCGGAGTCAATACTTTGTAGGACCCCCTTTCACTGCAATTACAGCTGCAAGTCTTTTTGGGGATGTCTCTACCAGCTTTGCACATCTAGAGAGGGACATTTCTGCCCATTCTTCTTTGTAAAATAGCTCAAGCTCTGTCAGATTGGATGGAGAGCGTCTGTGAACAGCAAATTTCAAGTCTTGCCACAGATTCTCAATTGGATTTAGGTCTGGACTGTGACTGGGCCATTCTAACACATGAATATGCTTTGATCTAAACTATTCCATTGTAGCTCTGGCTGGATGTTTCGGGTCGTTGTCCTGCTTTAAGGTGAACCTCTGCCCCAATCTCAAGGCTTTCGCAGACTCTAACAGGTTTTCTTCTAAGATTGCCCTGTATTTGGCTCCATCCATCTTCCCTTCAACTCTGACCAGCTTCCCTGTCCCTGCTGAAGAAAAGCATCCTCACAACATGATGCTGCCATCACCATGTTTCACAGTAGGTAGGGTGTGTTCAGGGTGTGGTGCAGTGTTTTCCACCACACAATGTTTTGCTTTCAGACTAAAAAGTTCAATTTTGGTCTCACTTAACCAGAGCATCTTCTGCCACAAATTTGCTGTGTTCCCCACATGGCTTCTCTCAAACTGCAAATGGGACTTCTTATGGCTTTCTTTCAACAACGGCTTTCTTCTTGCCACTCTTCTATAATGGTCAGATTTGTGGAGTGCACGACTAATAGTTGTCCTGTGGACAGATTCTCCCACCTGAGCTGTGGATCTCTGCAGCTCCTATAGAGTTCAAATGGGCCTCGTGGCTGCCTCTCTGATGAATGCTCTCCTTGCCTGACCTGTCAGTTTAGGTGGATGGCCATGTCTTAGTAGGTTTGCAGTTGTGCCATACTCTTTCCATTTTCTGATGATGATGTCCAAAGCTTGGGATATTTTTGTATAACCTAACCCTGCTTGAAACTTCTCCACAACTTTATCGATGACCTGTCTGATGTGTTCCTTGGCCATCATGATGCGGTTTGTTCACTAATGTTCTCTAATAAACCTCTGAGGGCTTCACAGAACAGCTGTATTTATACTGAGATTAAATTACACACAGGTGGACTCTATTTACTAATTAGGTGACTTCTGAAGGAAATTGGTTCCACTAGATTTTAGTTAGTGGTAACAGAGTAAAGGGGGCTGAATACAAATGCACGCCATACTTTTCAGATATTTATTTGTAAAACATTTTGAAAACCATTTATCATTTTCCTTCCACTTCACATTTATGTTCCACTTTGTGTTGGTCTATCACATAAAATCCCAATAAAATACATTGACGTTTTTGGTTGTATT